TTGAATCTGGACGGTTATGCCTACTTGGCCATCGCTTCCTGCCTGCAGGGCTTCACCAGTGGGGCCTTCTTCCCTATAGCCTCAGTCTTAATCCGGCGTTTGGTCAAGTTGGAGGAGTTCGCTCTCAGCACAGGATGGTACCACATTTTTCTTGGAGTTGGCCACCTGCTTGGACCGGTTGTATCAGGTATGTGGGGGTTTATTAGTGATGGTGTAGTAACAGACTGATCCGATACATGCCAGTACTGCGATGGTGCCAAACTCACACGTTTTACACGCGTTCTTGTAAGGTTGGGCGCGAGCACTTTTAGAACGGAACAACCTATTCGGTCGAAAAGCCATTTAACGTGCATGTACGCCATACCAGTCATTAATCCAGAATAGACTGGCCTTTAAAATGGTAAACAGCAGCGTGTTCAACATGCGTACGTCGGCAGGAATGGGTACTGCAGCTGTGGGCCATGATTCTCAGTGATTACAAAGATTTCCCCAAAAAGATGATCCCATATATACCGGTACATGTATACGTATCAATTAACTTGAAAACATGGATGGATAGGCCTAGACACTTTTTTCAGAAGTTCTTATGGAAAGATGTCATCTCCAAAAAAATGAAAGTGACCCCTTCACTCAACACTATGTTGGCCAACTCTGACACATGCTTATGTTTTCCTCCCTCTCAGGCTGGGTGTTTGATGTGACATTGAGTTACAGGCCGGTGTTCTTTGTGTTAGGGGCAATAAGTTTCGCCTGTTGTATCCAAACACTTCTTTTCCCTGTCTTCAAGCGACTGGAAGGAAGGAGGTGAGGACCGACCACCCCAAACAACACGTGAGCGAAGATTAAGTGATTTCTGCGGTTTGGGTGTTACTGAGTCAGTTTTACTAGAGATTGAGCCAAAAACTTGAGCCAAACTGGAAAACATCATAATGCTCACACAAACTTGACCAGAGTCATCCATCCTAGGGAAGCAAGTAGATGATACGTTTGAGCTTTCTTCCTGATCACATTATGTCATTTTTCTCTTCTGATATCTTGTAAGTCCATGCATTCTCTCCTGCATCTTTCATGTCAGGCAGTTGCGTTGCCACGAGGGGGATGCAAAGTGATGAGGCAGAGCGCAGTTCAGAGCAAAATCGAGACACCAAAGGAGGCAAATTGGGCGGGCAAATAGATTACAGGCCGAAAAACAGGTAATTGTGTACAAGCTCATAAGGTGACGAGAATATCATTTCTTGGGTCAAGACGCCGTCTCATGGGTGCATTCGCAGCGAAAGCTTGTCATCTTGACGAGATAGCCTGAAACGTATTTTACTCTTACAAATGAATCATTAGGGAGACATTTTGTGGTAGATTTTTTGACCTTAAGGAGACATCGGTCATTAGGGAGACATTTCAATGTCTCCATGTTTGCACATATTTACCAAAGTTCAAATGAAAAGGTCGTTTATTTTAAGTAATCCATGTTTCTTTGTTACATAACCTGTTTTTGATATTATTCGGGCAACTTTTTTCTGCAAAAGAAACAGCTTGTTGCATTGAGAGGTCAAACTGCCCCAGGAAAGAATGGCATAATTTAAGTAGGAAAGAATAAGGGTATTATACAAAGTTAAAAGTATAGTTTCTGGCAAACTTTTTTTTAATCTACTCATAATGCCAATAGTTTTGGAGATTTTGCACACAACATGTTGATATGTTTGGTCCAAGTGAGATTCTCATCAGTATAAACACCCAAGAATTTGGTACTTTTGACCTGGTTCAGAACATTTTATATTATATATTCCGTGTATACTTATTTGTCTAGAGTTAAAAATCATGTAATTTGTCTTGAGTAAATTAACTGAAAGTTTATTTGACAAAAGCCATTCATTTCAATTTTTCAATTAACCCTAACAGTCCTGAATCCTCCAATTTTAATATGATTTTGCACACACCCTAGGGAGTTAGGGTTAACATTTATTTCGATAGTGCAAATGTATCAATCAGGTTATATGAATGTGTACAATTAATCAAGGATATAAAAGAATACAAATAAATACGATAATAACTAGGATGGCATAAGTTATGCACTACAGAGGCATAATCAAAAGCCGGGGGCTTGTACTGAAATGTCTTGAGAGAAGACAGACAGACAGACAATAGGTCACAGGACTAACAAATAAGACAAGAAACGAAGAACGACGGACGGAAAACAAAAATAATTTATACAAGGCAATAATAGATACAATGGAATCAAAAATAGTGATATGCAAGTAATGAAACTGAGAGGGAAATTATGCTAAATAACTGGAGATAAGACTATTTTTGTATGAGGTTTTGAAGCGGCCCACAGACGATTGTGTTTTCAGGGTCATGCTTATTCTATTCCATAGTCGTGGCCCCTGAAATCGTAAAGTATTGCTCGAATAGGTTGTGCGAATGTATGGAAGATAAAGATTGTTGCGAGACCTTGTGCAATAGTCATGGACATTGTGGACAGAGGTGAAGAAAGACGAAAAGGCGTGTGGAAGAAGATTGTTGGTGTATTTGAACATAAAAATCCCAGTTTGGAGTTTGTTTATATCAGTGAGTATAAGTGTGTTGAGTCGTGCAAAGAGAGGGGCTGTGTGTGCCTGTGGAGGTGATTGAGTACAAATCCGAACAGCTCTTTTCTCAATAATTCATTCTTCACCTTTACAAGTTCTGTATTCAGATTACTTATGGCTGTATTCACATTATGATAACAGACTCACAGTGGCAGACTCAGATCACAGCGGATGGTGCGTGTAGGCCCTATGTTTATCATTATGCCACAGCTACCTGTAGATGTATGGTAACTGTAGGCCTACAGTACATATGTACATGTATATTAAAATTTAGACAGCAGAAGGAAGCAGAATTTGACTTTCAGAGAGCAGGAAATTCTGGACTTTTATTTAGGCCCTCAAAAATGCTACCAGTACTTTTGGGTGCAACAAAATTGAACAACACTTGAACTTTCAGAGGCTGTAAAAAGAAAACGATTGGAGATATCAAGCTGCAACCTAATTTACCTTAATTTTTAGGGATTTTTCGGAAAACTTGTTGCGGTAATATGGGAGACACACCTGAAATCCGTGTGTGATTTAGCATGAATGAAGTAGAAGTGTCTTGGAAACAATAATTGACAAATTGAGTCTCTTTTCTGTTTACTTGGTGAGGCCTTGATTATTTGGTGTGGGAATTTGTAAGGGATTAGTGTGAGGAAAATGAAAGATTCTGGAGGAGAATATAGAATAAAGGGGCTTTCAAGTTTTTCCTTTATACAGTTTTCATGGCCCAATCACCATGTCCATTTATGCACATGCGTGCATAATTGAGAAGATAATCAATGGAAAGTTCCATTAATTTAACCATTAATGACGAACTCAATTTGGTCACATTCCGACATAGTGAATGCTTATTATTCTGTGAAACCTCTTAGTTTAGTCGTACAGAGCAGACGACGCACGTTTTAACGCACAAACAAAGGCTCTTGATTAGTTTAAATTTACTGTTTCTTCCCCCTTTTCTTTTGACAAAGGCATCCCTCGTATGGTTCATAACAAACAAGTAACAACTGTCTCGGGGCACGTTAGTAGGTTGGTGTTCATAACACTCACAAACTATACTGGGTGTCCATTTGACTTTGTTTATGTATGAATAATAAAATCTTGATCTGAGTCAGTTTGCTTACGTTATTCCAGACTACCATTTGTCATAATGTGCATGATAATGCGGCATCATAGGTGACATCTACATGTACATGAGCGGCACTCAATGACAGAAATCCTCAAATGGCATGAAACATGCGCACACACCCCGCATTAGCCCTAACAGTCCTGAATCCTCCAATTTTACAATATGAGTAGGCCTATGTGAAGGATGCAAGTCTGCTACTACAAAATTCCAAATTCACCGACTGCTGAATTCCTAGGGTTTACATGACAACAGATATTTATGAAATCTTGATTCGTCATCTATAGATATAGAGTTTAGTATGCAGAAATATCCTGACCCTTCGATTTGTCAAATAAAGGCGCTATTACAGATGTGGAAAGTAACGATTATATGAGACAAACCTGATAAAACCACTTAAATCGGTTTGATTATATACTACACGATCAATTAAATGAATCATAAAATAGCGAAGGTTGGTTCAAAGTGACCCATGGACCTGGATGACAAAGATCAGAGTGGTTTTTTTGGTTGGAAATAAAGCGTCTACATGCATCATATCAAAGTATGCATAATAAACCTATCATTCATACAGCTTCAAACTTTAGAACTTGGTGATGTTTGCTCAATAAAATCTGGTGACTGGATGACGATTTCCTCCAAATAAAGACGCTTCGTTAATAATGGAATAAAATTAATATAATGCCTGGCCTGTCAGAATGGACACTGCTAAAATTTCCAAGCCGAAATCCATTCTTAAACACCTTTTTTTGTACCTCTTGCATGTCGGAAAGTCAAAGCATATTAAAAGTAGATTTTCCAATGATTTGTTCAATAGTTTTAAGGTACCTTTTTGTTATTTCAAACACCCTCATAGTCATGTAATGGTGTGTTCCTCTCGCGAGCAGTCGTGACCTATCTCCTTGTGTGGAGTCTGGTGCGCACGAGACGTATTAAACTACTACATGAGGTAGCAGACGGCCAACTAGTACTTTATCAACCGTTTAAGACCAGCCACGTGACGAGCTCTCGACCGATAGAAATGGTACGAGCAAGGGAATAAATGTTTGCCTAGCCAGTCTTAAAAAAGATAGTTAGCGGACTTACTCGGAAATATTAATGTATTCCACTACTGTTATTTATTCATAAATATCTGAGACTGTTTAACTATTCTTATTGGTCGAGAGCCCGTCACGTGGCTGCTCTCGAATAAGGGAATAAAATATGCCGGTTACTTCAAAGATAGATTTGCGTCAGGGAGACAAAATGAATTTTGGATTTTTGCCCTGCCCGACGTGTATTTTAACACTGTATACTCAGTGTGCCCCTGAAGGCTTGTAAAAAAAACACAAGCGTACTCGGGTGGGACTCGAACCCACGACCTCCTGCTTACTAGTGCAGAAGTATACAGTGTTAAAATACACGTTGGGCAGGGCAAAAATCCAAAATTAAAATATGCCGGATTTAAACTTGAGTTTAAGGCTGGCTCAGGACAATGGACGCGACTGCTGCCAGAGCCTTTGGTGAGGACATAATCAGCGTTCAAAATCTTAAACGTTAGTTTAAGACCGACCAAGCACATATTTGTTCTCATTTATAAATACTGTTTAAGTCAGAGAGTCCAAAGAAGTCAATATACGATCTATATGCAATCTAGCGTTTATATGTCTGTCCACTTGACCAATGGGCCTTGAGCAGGAACAAGACAGGGCGCTCTTTCCATAGCAACGTAGGCTCCATTAGTAGTAACTTCTATTTTGAGATTTTGAGATATAGATATAAATTATGAGTGATTCAAGAGATTCAAGAGCGCTCCTTCCATTGAACAAAGTCGAATCAGCCCCTGTTATGGCAGAACAATGTATCTTATGTTGCAAATGCTGTGGTGTCGTTTAATATTGCTCAGGTAGAAGCCTGAATCTATTTGTATATGTTACACATTTCTTGTTTGCAGATTTGCTCTTGGAAGCTTCACTGAGCATTTAGCAGAAAAGCTCATATATTAAATGACTTCTTTTTTATTAATTTGGAACACCTTGTCTGAAAGAAACTTGGCTAGGCAATACCACCAATATCAAGGATATAATTGCCATAATACTTGTCTGTAAAGTGAAAGTGTATCTCCACGTACTTTATTCAATGCAGTTTGGCAAAACAATGCATCTTTAAGATACTTCCTTTTGCTAAAATGTCTTTGGATTTAAAAGAATGTCTTTTTGTACACTTAAACACATTTTCATTAATATTACTGAAAATCTAGCTTTTGCTCTGACCCGACTGGGTGATTTACTATTCCACGTTCTTACTGAAATAATTAGACAGCATTGCTGCATGCTGTTATGATTTTCACATATGCATGCAAAGTATCAACATGACTTGTGCTCAGCCTTGGCATGGTATGTTTTAAATACATGTTAAAAGTTTTTGTGACTTGAACTTTGGCACACATTTCATGTTGAAATTATTTTACAGTGTGTTAATAAAATCTGATGTTAAAATGAAGTTATAACATTTTACCATGAGTTTTAATCTTGGGAGTTAATTACATTATGAGTTTGATTAACAGTGGCATGGCGTTGTAACTGAAGTGAATAATTATTGCAAATATTTTATAATCAACATGAATTAAACTGACACTTGCCATGAACTTATGACTGAACTATGGTGTTCCCAGGAAATGTGTGTACTCTGCATAAAGAATAATTGAAGAGAAGAACGATGTACATGTATCTCTTGTAAAGTGATTGTAACATCCTAAACATCGATGTAAAACTTTCTAGAAAATACACCTCATGACATGCTTGTGAAATTTCAACGAGATTGCACCCATAATCAGAAAATTGAAACCACCTCAAGTTTGAAGTCGTTTTACTCAAATTGATCATTTTCAATGTTACTTTGTTTTTCATGGAGCAGGTCGCGATGTAGCCGCATCGCTCCCAACAAACATAACAATCCCGGCCAACGCTCCTCTTTTCACCCGATGAGTAATGGCTTCTGCTCGAGGACATTATCAAATTGCAGCGGACTTTTTCACATGTTGATACACGGTCTAAGATATTTATGGATGAACGTTCAAGACCGACCAAGTACATATTAGTCCCACCCATCGATACCTTCTGTTATCGAAAATCACAAGTCTAAAAAATTATGATCTTCCAACGATTATGCTCCACAATGTTATTCTTTTACAAACACCCCTCTAGCCATGCTATGTGTGTACCTCCCAAGGCATAGGGGCGGTGCTTATCAGCCAGCCATTCACTCGCACTGGCTTTTTTCGTGTTACTACGCCGTTTCAGGGTTCCACCCGCGCCTTGACTAAAGGCTACGTGATGTGCCGAATGTTGAATATTGATGTTCAGTGTCGTCACGGGACACCGTCGCCCACAGATAAGACTTGACGTCTTCTCTAGCGTGTGGCTCTGTATATATCTATAATTATTGCCATAAAGGAAAGAATGCACCCATGACATGTGGGCCTACTGTTCAGAGTGTGTTAATACCTTATGAACCCATTGTAATAATGCACTTTGAACCAAAAGAAGTCGCACTGCTAAATTACAGTTGGTGAAGATTGGAGGCGTGTGTGCTACAACCAAGACTCACATTTTGCAATCATTGAGCAGGCCTACGTGCTGAATTGAAACAGCCCAACGTAGGACGTGAGTCAAACTCGTGTAGGTACAAACCCTAGCTCAAAATAACATTTTTGTAAGAATTTTAACTCTTTCAACGGTCGGTGCAAAAACAACATTTTGTGAACATTGTAGTTATTAGACGGATGATTCAAGGTTTGCATGGTGGCAGTGTTAACTATTAGGTTAAGAAAATTTCTATTGGAGGCACCGTACTGAAAGCGTATCGCAAGTGCTTACCTCAATGCATTGGTGGGACCACCTAACATGTATTCCTTGCTCTATGGTGGGACAACGGGGTTCATCGGCGTGTACACTGCTATTAGTTACGGGGACGAACTCCGTTTCCAAAGGGCAGTAGTTTTTTTTCCAGGGAAATTATCCTCCACTACTGAAACAGGAAGATTACGCCTTTTACTTCCTGTGATCACTTGCGCCATTTCTCCTCCTCTTGACATGGGACGACCCCATTCTATCCCACCATGCACTATGGTAAACAGTCAACTGTAAATAAGGTTATTCAGCTCATTCAATTAAGAATTAAATTGAATGGCCTTACTGACTGTCATTCAATAATAAAAAATAACTAATCAATTTCCCTATGGTATTCCTTTAAACTCAATTCGTCCTTGAAAAAATGCTTTCAAAATGAATTATCGAATCAGTGATTCTTTTTCGTTGTTTTGGTAACTATTTTGTTAGTGGGCAGATAATTTATATTTTTTTAAAGAAACGTTTCTTCAGGCATTCCCGAATGTCACTATTCTTATAGAGATTTTTCACGTGACGGGCAAAGGCGATTCAGGGAGCGTTGAAAGTCCACAGCGTCTTTCATTGGCAATTTCATGTATTCCAGGATGCTGTGAGACCTCATAGGCGCGCGCATTTCCAGACACATCTGTGCATATTGAATGCTGACCCTCAAAGATCACGTGAATGAAAAACCTCTATAAAAGTCTGGGGTATTTCGGTGTATTTATCTCCATTCAAGGTTTTTTGTCCGAGATGTGTACATGTCTCCATTACAAAACGTAAACAAAACAAATGTTGCCTATTGTGACGGGGTCCATGGGGGTACATGCTCGGGTGAAAATGGATCCAGACTCAGCTTCGCGTCCAGAATCATTGGCCCCTTTTGGGAGTGCAAAACACCGTTGACTTCAGTCTACCAAGCAGGCAGAATTAGTCTTCCGTGAATAAACAGGCTACATAAAATCAATCAAAATATTTCAAACGATCATGATTGACAAATCCTTCTCAAGTGATACATAATGAAAAAGACAACCCATAGTCCTTTTCATTTTATTATGAATTTCACCTAGTCTATAAAGGGAATCCCCAAAGAAGACAGGACAATGCATCCATTTAAAAATGTCATTAATTTTAACAGACAGGGGATAAGAATGATTGCCCCAAAACGAATTAAAAAAGAAAGGCATGGCCATACGCCCGAAGGGCATCAACGTTTTGTTCATTTGAAAGCATGCATAAGCATTAAAAAAATGCCATACACGTAAAGTAAATGAAGCATTAATTGCCCCAAAACGAAATAAAATTCGCCACCATTAAAATGAACGTTTGGAACTAAATACTGGTTGCCGAAAAGTTTGCTTTGAATGCTCCATCAATGAAAAAGAAACCCCAGTTTATCTGATGTGTAAATTAATGGATGTCATCGGTGAAAATACAGAGAGAAGCAGAGTAAACATGGCCAAGAAAACCTATAATACCGCAAAGGTCGGTTCACAGTGGCGCAAAAGCGAAGAAAAACGCGAATTTTTGAGGGCAGATCTAAATATTCATGCTGCGAATACGCAAAAGTCAAACACACCTCGAACTAAATTTTGCTGTAAATCTGTTTTGACGTCAAATTCGCTTGGCCTTCACATTTGTCTAATGTATGAACTGCACTTAAACTTATCGAAACACAACTACAATTCAACCCTCTCCACCTTCACACTTGGACAAGCTTCACCGTCGTCTGGCATCCCAGGGTACTCTGATCTCAGTCATCGAAACTCCACCGTTGAATCTTCTCACGCCTCAATGTTCCCCTTCAGTTTTCCGATGACAGACGCAGACAGAGCGTACAGTCGAAACGGTGACTCTGCCGGTTCTCTTAACATCACTCAGAACAGAGATTCGCCATCCAAACTGACCACTGTTAACAAACGAGGTTTTTACGGAGAAACGCGTCCGTTCGGAACGGGGCTGAAATATATCATGGGTATTACCTGATCGAGAACGCTTTGCAGTGAGCTTTGGTCCTTAAATTTGATAAACCTCAATGCTAAAAAATTTCGACAGTAATACAATATTCTTCAAAACTGATATTTTCAACAGGAAAGAACCTGAAAAAAGGGGGAAATCCTCTGGGATTCGAACCAAGGACACCTACAATGCAAAAACTCTGGTGTTAATATATCAACACTTTTTAGTGTTGTGAGATGACCACACCATAAGGTGTTACTTTAACACCACTGGTGTTACTTTGCACATCTATATGTGTTACAGTGCACTGGATGGTATTAAAAGTACCATCAAAATGTTTAACACCAGTGAAAAGTGTTGATGTAGTTCTTTGATAACACCAAGGGTGTTAAATTTAACACCCCAGTTTTTGCAGTGATTGGGCTATTGATAAATGGAAACCTATAGTTCTAACCGCGAAATTACAGCCTTCATTACACAGGGACATCATTCCATCATTTTCTTCCTTTTCAAACTTTTCGCTGCAATATCTTCATTTTCATCTGTTGTATACGAACTATATCCCGAGTAAAAGGCAAAATCGACAAGTGGTTGACATAATGGTGGTGGCCCAAACTCTCCCTTTTCTGGTAACTTTAACTTTGGTTGGTTTGCTCATCTTTTCCAGCCTAGGTAAATGAGCAAAACATAATGGGAAAACCATCAGCTACACAGTAGTTGGTGCACCTTAATTAGTAAACTTCATTCACTGAAATCAATAATAAATACTTCAACACTTTAGAAAAGGTGGGAAATTTCTCAGAGATCTGCTGGCTGATAGATTGATAGGGGTTTTCTTTGACTTTCGAAGCTTATGAACTCGTCTGGGACACCGACTCGGGCGATGGAAAGTCCAAACTCCCCAGAGGGTGGATGGGGCATCGTGGTGGTCATTGCCACCTTCTCTGTCAACGTGCTCTTTGGTTTGTTACGGTGCGGGGGCATACTGTACGTCAGTTGGATGAACGAATTCGATACCAATGCGAGGGAGACAGCTGCAGTGCAAAGTATTGCCACCTCACTGTGGTGCTTGTGCGGTAAGAGAAGTGATTCAGAACTTAGGACAGTCAGTGGGGAGAGGGGTTTTGGTGTGGGGGATCGTGCCTGGCTATCTTTGACTTCAAGGGAGAACTAGGGTCACTAATAAGACACATACTGATAAACCTATAAGGTATACATCCAGTACAACCTATTTTCATCTGAATACGCACAAATTCTTGCTGTCTTCGCACTGAGCGACAGCAATCATTCGGACTTTTGCTACTGAAGGGCGTATAACTATACCTCATACATATTCATGACGGATCGCCGAACTCTCATCGGTACATTCACGGTCACGCGCCAGCGGCTAATTTTGCTGTTTACCAAGCACACACGCGATCGTTCACTCAAGGAGTAAATACACATGCGTTTTTAACGGTGTGAGCCGGGTGACAATTAAAAACGCATGTGCAGTAGCAGAAAATCCCGGAATTGTCGCCCGGATGTAGTGTGGACTCGTAATGGCGCCAATCTAGGTAGCTCATATAAAAAGATGGCGGCACTCGTAAAAGACAATCAGCGTTTTCCTCAGCTGAGCGATGCCGAACTTGAAATATTGTGTTTGAACCTCTGGAACAAAATGAAAGTTCGTGGAAACAAATTAATGATTAAGTTTTTTTAGAGGTTTTTAAATAAAATATGTATGAGGTATTGTAAAACAAATATAACATGGTTAAGCTGAGGGAACTAGTTTGTCAACTTCCAATACCTCGGGGAACTAACATCGACTGTCCAACCTCAAACCACATTAGAATTTTATACCCCCCCCCCACCACTGCATCACTAAGGATGACGTTTGGGATAGTTTTTGCGTAACTTTAATAGTATATCAACGCCCAACATTTATCCTTATTTGTCTTATCCCTCACCAGGCCTCTTGGGTGCAGTTTTAATCAAACGCTTCGGCTGCAGAATTTCAGGAATTCTTGGGGGAGTTCTGTCATCTCTGGGATATTTTTGCAGCTACTGGGCGGAAAGCATATTTCACCTCTACGTCACATTTTTCGTAATAGGTAATGTCATTGCTGTAACGGATAACTATGATCACAGAATGGTGAATGTTCCCAGCTCAGGCATTATAGAGTACCGAACCAGGAAGCGTACAAAGGATTTCTAGTCACGTGATTTATGACGGTCAGCGTTCAATTTACACAGATGTGCGTGAAAACGTGCATCTTCATAGTCTCTCAACTCTGTGGAATACTTGAAATTTCCAGTAGAAGTACCTAGATTCGGAAGTGCATGCGCCTACTTTATACTACTATATGTACACGGACATGGTACGCTTCTTGAGAGAGGCATTTGCCCGTTGGTACTCTGTGACATCAATGTTGTTATCAATAGAAATGTATCACCAACCTATAAATTATCCATTAGTGACTGCATTATCAGCTGTAGCATACACGACAAATTACTGTCGGAACCTTGAGCAAAAGACTGTGCTAGCAACTGTGCCAAAATTACCCGCCTCGAGCACAAGCGGCCCCTCATCGGTGAAAGAGAGCTGCGTTGGTCGGGAGTGTTCATGTTATTGGTTGCGATGCGACCATGACGCGTGCATTTCCTACAGTCGTGTGTGAAACAGCGAAGTTCTTAACAAAGGAGCCTCTGTTGCTGTAGGAATCGCAAGCTTCTTCTTATTAATATCGCCTAGGACGGCCCTCAACAAATGCAGGGTCGAGTGCTAACCGTACGAACCGGTGAAATTTGTTTCATTTCATTCTGACGGCGGCAGAGTTCCTCCGCGTTTCTTAGGCATCATTTCAAAATTCCTATCGGTTGACTATAGGATGGGGCCATCCGACGGATAAATAAATGATAACAGTGACTTGTGTTGAGTGAATAATGGAGGTGGTGTTGCTCCACTGAAACCACATAGCCTTGGGAGTAATAAAATATAAAGAAATAAAAAGGGGTTTATCGCTTAGAATTTGCCACTTGAGAACACTTAACCTGATAGCCAACCGATAATAGAATTTATCGGTCGAACCATTCTGTCGGACACCTACCTGATAAGAATTTTGAAATGGTGCCTTAGCCATTTCAAATGCTCTTCAAACTATATACATCTTAATATCACCCGGTGGCCCAGCTGGAGCGACATTTCTAAGGGCACATCTAAGGGAAACTATGGGTAAACTGACCTTGGCTTGTACAAAGTTTTAAATGAAAGCACACAGGGGGTAACCCCTACTCCATATTCAAGCCCGCTTCATGCTTGGCGCGAAAACAATCATGAATTTGTGACGTCATATCAAGTATTTGCGCTGGGAATTCTCAAAAGTTAAATATATTTCAATTCAGCGAAATTTCGCTTCGCTTTCACATTCGCTTGTAGTATGAACTGGCATTTATGCGACTGAAATGCATTGACCTGTATCGTATTGGCTTGTATATTTTGAGCCGTACCAAATGAGTGTTTTTTTCATTTTTTCTTAGGTGTTGGTGTCGGAATTTCGTACAACTCCGGCATGGTTGCAGTAGCTATGCACTTCGACAAGAAGTACAAGACGGCCAATGCGGTGGCCTTCTCCGGAATAGGTACGGGAATAATGGCTGCGCCTCCGATCTTTCAACTCCTCTTAGACCGCTACGGCTGGAGAGGAACTCTTCTCATCATCTCGGCAATTATGGCTAATTCTATTGCGTGCGCTGCTCTTTTCAGGCCCCGGCGCAGAATTGAATCGCCCGTAGTCGAAAAACCGAATGACGATGACGGTCAAGAAGATTTGGAGATTGTTGAGGAAGTACCCGAGAGACAGGCAAGTGCATCTAATGCAGATGGTAGGGAGGTGATCATCTCCGAAACAATTCTTGATGGTGAGAGATCTTCCTTTGATTCAGGATTACACGAAGAGCGAGATGAAGCTTGCTACACGTCCACTGACCAGACAGGCCGTACTGATTATATGCTCCTCAAGGACTCAAGGGGATTGAAACGCGGTGCAAGACTGTTACACAGAGTGGCATCTGTACTGGGGATCACAGTTTTGCTGAAAAGCTATCGGTTGCTCTTGTTATGCTTTCTGTCCCTTGAGTTCAGCCTCCCATACATTTCGTTCCCGTTATTCATCATTCCTCGTGCTGAGAGCATCGGCGTGGAGCCTTCTCGTGCTGCCTTCCTGCTCAGTTTCCTAGGCATCGGGAGTCTACTTGGCCAGCTGGGCAACGGACTGCTGCTCAGCTGCCGGTTGCCAGCCGAATTCGTGCTGGCTGTGTGCCTGGCCGTGGCGGGTGTTTCGTTGCTTCTCACGAACTTGGACGGCTACGCGTATCTTGCTGTCACTTCCTGCCTGCAGGGCTTCACCAACGGGGCCTTCTTCCCTATAGCTTCCGTTGCCATTCGGCGTTTGGTCAAGTTGGAGGAGTTCGCTGTCAGCACGGGATGGTTCCACATATTTGTTGGCATAGGTCATCTGCTTGGACCGCTTATATCAGGTATGTGATGCAATTGTATGCTAACAGCGTAATCTTGATCTCCACTTAGAATTGATATCGATGGTGGCGCCATACTCCAAAACGAAAGACTAGATTGACAGTGCATGCTTACGGGCGATCTTGAATGGAGTATGGTGTACTATCTATGATACACATTGTCACGTCGTGCGTCGTGTTGCGTTGTTCCGTCTTATTGCCCTTTCCAGATTGGATATTTTCTACCTAAACGTCGCTCCTTCCGTAGCCCGTAAAGTCGTACGTCGTGTCGTGCGTCGCAAGGCGTATTACGTCAGCTGAAGCAAGACGCGCGTCTCATTGCACAACGCGACGCGTCGTGAGCGCGCGTCGCCCGTCGTGTGTCGCCCGTCGTCCGTGTTTTTTTTTTGTCACGGTATTTTTAACTTTGACCCTTGAACGTTTCACATGTACATGTACTTGTTCGATCGATCCACCATACCTGACTGTCATTTAAGCAGTAGAACTAGAAGATGTATTCGTTTTTGCAGTTGCGCCGAACTTTACTTGAGAGAAGAAATAATATCCTTTCATTTTTAAAGACTGACATCGTTAAAGTGATGTGTATATGAAATAATACCATTTTTGTTACATAAATTAACAAAATAGACTTTTGTTAGGGTAGATTGTTTTTTAACTTAGTTACTCTATACGTAACTTTACTCGTTAACGGCCTGACGTTAGGCCTATAGCCTATGTAATATTTCTGTCTGTCCCTGCACGATATCCCACAGAACGGAATGTAAATAATAGATTATTTACAATGTTTGATTCCTTAATATTTTCATAAGAGACGAACTGATTCAACATTATTTTGAAGGCGGATATACCTATGATCAAATCTGCTGTATACTCCAGATAAGACATGACTTTAGTTGCAGGTTGGCTCACAGAAGTCTTTTAAACAGTAACGTTACTTGTTAGCCCCATANATGGCATACACACCTACCAAAACCAACACGTCATATTTTCTGAAACTTAAACCTAGTGGTAATTGCCCCCTAACAATACATCTAATAAACAGTTTGTTATCCACAGCACTGTCTAGTATTTCTAGATGTCAAGGTGAAATTGAGAGGACAAGATGGAATATCTGTATCGGTTGGCATATTTCTTTCTAGAATTTGATGAAAATAAGTCGGCACATTTTTACAGTATGCAAATTAGAATTAGACGGTGGATAAGTTGGCCTGAACAATTTTGCTGAAAATGTTTTTAAAAAAGATATTTGGTTGAATTCTCAGAAAGGCGATATTTTCTTGTCAAGGGGCAGGGGCACTCTAGCATTATTGGCACTAATTATGGGACTAGTATATGCTTTGCAGGCAGGATTTGTACTTGCCTTATTGGGAAAAGATCCTTAGAAGTGAATGGAATTTAATAATTTTAGTCAGTGTTACTCTAATGATGAACACGTGAATGTTTTTTGAAGTCAGGAATGGACTCAAATAATTCCTGCCTACAGTGAGCTTGTGCATTTATCGACGGGGATGTATCAAAACGCTTCAAAAATAAGAGAACTATACTATAGCTTAAAGAGTTGATCACCGGGAGTGTTAGGCCTACTTTTGACAGCGCGATGTCTTCTACCATGTCTGCGTGTATGACGTGTGCACTGGACGTGAAGGACAAGCCGAGATTCATCTCTGCTTTTTCAACGATTTTAGCCTCTGCCGATTCCTGCACATTTTTCCACCTGCCGGCACACTCGAGGAACTTCATCCAGCTCTTCTTGGAGAAAGGCAAAACCCTCAATTTGGACTCTGAAACGTGCATAATGCACTGTTTTTCACCCGAATCGTCATCGAAGGAGCTCGAAATGTCGGCCATCTTACTGTCCTGCTGGTACCTAAAACAACTTACGTACCGCTTCTGCTATTGGTCAAACCATAATGATATACCACGCCTTGCCATAAAAGTCTCATTGATTGGCCGTATAAAAACGATGACGTAATTTTTCATGTCGCGCTTTCCTGCACCAAAAACGTGAAAATTTGAAAATTTTGGTGGCGTTTTTTGCTAAAAACGGCACACGACGGAATTGTGGATTTTAGTTTTGAGTTTCCTATCATCAGTCTGAAGAGGTTTCCGTAAAAATTACATAGATCCATGAAGTGCACCAAGAAAGTGCAAGATAATCGGCCATGCCCCGTGGTCTAGAAGCATCACATTGTCATTTGTTAAACCCCGGCTTTTGCAGGTCATATGCAACCCATTTGATGGGCGACGCGCGACTGGTGACGGGCGACGCACGACGAGCGACTGACGACGCGCAACGCACGACGGGCGACGGCAGATATGGAATTCCATACTCAAGGACATGAAAACGACTGTTCTTTGGTCGGAAGTCATCACTTGGGTGCGCAAGTGTGTGGGTCGGGCTGAGCACTTGCAACCAAATGTCGAAATGTATCGTGTTTGCAGGTTCGTCCGGCGCCTGAATGAAAAACCTTCTCACAATCCGGTCTCTTCTTTACCGTTAAGGGTGCACTTAAACGCAGGGTGAAGTTCACAGGCATTATAAACCTACAGACCACCATATCGTACGCAAAACTACATGCTCATTTCGTGATCTCCGCAGTGCCAGATGAATATCAACATCCATTAGCAAATTCACCCCTCCGTATAAGAAATTTATGCACATTTACAGAATTCCACAAAACTATTTTTCGACTGTTAAAAAAAAATCCTCAGTGTACTTAATCTGGCCCGTCTAGATTCAAATCAGTGCATTCGTGGCTCATCTGAAACAGAGGTATGAGCCTTGATTGTTAGTGCTAAACAAAATCAAACGAATAGTAAGATCCTACCAAATAAATCTTTATATTATATCCACCAAAATGATCCGCAAAAAAAAAAAAATTGGATAACTTTTCCTTGATGTTGTAGTGGAATTGGTGGCTTCAAGAAATGAGCGTGGAAATGCTCCATTCACGTACTGCTATGCTGTCCAACTGTGACTGATATACAGTTTTCCTTCCTCTCAGGCTGGGTGTTTGATGTGACATCAAGCTACAGGCCAGTGTTCCTTGTCTTGGCGGTAGTCAGCTTTGCCTGTGGTCTCCAAACTCTTCTTTTCCCTGTCCTCAAGCGACTGGAAGGAAGGAAGGGAGGACCGGCCAGCCCTCACAACGCGTGAGCAGTGATTAGAGGATCGCTGTAATTTTGGTGTCAGTGAGTCATATCAGTACATGCATATTCCAACTAAACTACATATGACCAGAATGCAGAGCATACTGGCTGTCTATCTTTCGCCGGTGAGGGTACACTTCAACTCGGAGTGGATAGGCGAGTGCAGGGCCTGCCCAATCAGCTTGGCCATATGCCATCTCGCACAATGCTTTGTCCTGAACGACCTTGATGTTTTGAAACATTAAACTGGCTCAGCGGTTCTATTTTCAACCCCCCCCCCCCAATCCAGGGAATCTTCAGAATATTTCACTAGAAAAGGCTGGGCGCCATCACAAGTTTTCAGTTCGCATCGGTAACCATGCATGAATTGTGTTCATTGAAATGGACGACGAGGGTCAAATGTGGATCAGGAAACCGACCACAAACAGTACTCATGGAAAGGCGCCTTAAGGTACGTTATGAAGTTATTGAGGGTTGAAGTTTGTCCCGTCGGATCATTCATACACGTTGTAAACTTTGGGTTCAATGGAACATTATGATGTCAGTGAAAACGGCTCCCGTTTCGTTGAACCCTGCATACAGATAGTACAAAAGGATCAAAAACAAAATCTAACTCAAGGGAAATTTCCATTTTTACCTTACACGAGGAGTCATATCATATGTCCTAGTTTGGACAATTTCTATCCTTACACCAAAGAAGGCGGCTTAATATTAAAAACTGGAAACAGAAGACACGATTAGAAGAAGCAATTATTACTTTTATTGCAGCATATCACAGAGAAGAACAGACTTTGCATCAAGTTAAGTTAAACACTCCTTAAATCTCCAAAATTTCGTCGTTACTTGCTTTAAAATTTTGCTTCTACCACAGTAATGTTCAAATCCTTTTAAATTTTTGTGTCATATCAACAAGTATAAAAAAGCCATATATTTCGTTCTACTTCCAAGGGCTCATAGATGCAAGATCTTGCAAAGGACCCAACTATACGATCGTGGTTACAATTACACAGAGTTACTTTTTGAGTATTTTTTCTTTGAAGTAACGTTTACCCACTTTTACACATTTTCTTAATGTTGACATTTTGTCTCGTGTATAACCAAATATATTCTTGTTTAATATTGCATGTTGTGTACACAATACGGGCGATTCACAATAGTGCGCCACCAAGAGTTTGCAATGCGTTGGCCAATCACAATGTGCGAAATCTGTCGACCCTTTCCAAACGAGCCTTGGGTCGGCAGGTTTCGCGCACTGTGATTAGCCAACGCGTTGCCAACTCTTGGAGGCACACTATTGTGAATCACCCGTATTGAAATTAATCATCTTTAGATCGTTTGCAACGTACTTTTCTGGTAGCAGTAAGACACTGTAACCAACACTGGCTACAAGTACCCCTAATTCTATGAATCACATTATTGCCCGATGCGATTGACCCTCAGAGTTTTTCTCCAACTGAAATCTCCCGTCTCATGAATCGCTTAAAGGTTCCCACTGGTCACGACAGAAAGGGATTTTGTCTCACTGATTCGATGTTAACTTAATTCAATTGGCAGAGACAGATAGCTGGCTGAAATTTTTGAAAAGCGCACAAAGAGCATATATTAATGTAACAAATGCAAAAAACAGTCACTGACATTTACCTAAATACATACAAACCAGACAAATTAACGGGATTTTTTTTGGTTTAAACTAGACACATACGTAATCACCCACAGGGGGATATTGTTTGGCAAGTTTGATTGGCTGTTTCCGTTTTGCTTAATTTTATTTATTTCCTTTTGGGGAAGACTTGTCAAAAATATTGACACCACTTTTTTACCGGCGGACCATGCTCTCGCCGCTCCGGCGCTCAATGGTACAAACGCGAGTAACACTTTTGAACAAATAAGAATGTCACAGGTATTTGCTATTTCATTAGAACAGGTGACAGCCCGACAGAAATGTTAGAAACAGAACATTATGGACTGTATTATCGTGGCCGATGAGTTTTCTAGGAAGTCGTTCAGTCCAGTTTAAAACTACAAGTTCACAAACAGGAACTTATCAATTAAAAGACTACAAGCTGCCTTTTTATCTTTACGTAATCGAATTTTTCATCCAATTGATCTGGATTAAATCTCAGCTCCACCTCAGAATAGGAAAGAGCAAGATTTTTAGGTTAAGGTAATAGTCAGGTCGCTATGTGGTGCAACAGCTATAGACCGCTCTCGTGTTGCCTACATTGGCGGCTAAAATTGGCCAAAGTTGCAAATAAATCCCCCCCCCCTTTTTGGTTATTATTTATTCCTTCAAAATATGCATTTGTCCCATTAATAAAGGGTCGAATTTTCATTTACAATTCAGCAGTAGGTGTTTTATCATCAGTTCTGGGGGTCTGATAGGATTGCGCGGAATTTTGAAGACTTTGTGAACTATTCTCTAACTTTTGTATTGACGGCCAGCCATAGTTTAGACTGCGACGTAAAAAAACAGCCTGGTAATGAGCCAGCAGTTGGCAAAGTAACAGAGAATTTTACTGATTATAAAACACCGTGCAATGAGACGGATAGCTGGTTGATGTCGTTGGCATCGATGTTATTGAATCGAGGAGCAGACTAAGGAGCAACAGCCGCTTTCGGTCCTCGACCACAGACTTGGCATGTATCCAGCTTAGGGGCTTTTCGTTGTTTTCGTCCCCGCAGTCTTTGCCACAGAGACAATTTCTTCGTCTTATCTCCTGCCCAACAAGAAACACCTCATTTAAAATAATTTACAGTTCTTCTTGCATTATTTCTAAGATTTCTGGTTGATGCTTGACATAAGGTAAACGCAAACACACATTTTTGAATAAATGTAAAAAGGAAAATACGTCTACACCAGGTGAATTTGGTCGAGTTAAATTTGTACAATAAAAAAAATTTCGGTTATTAGATTGTTTTGACAAAACGATATCACTGATGAATTTGTATCCATTTATGTGTTGTCTTACGGAACATGAAGGGGCAGGATGCAGACTCCTTGCAACGTTTCTGCCAGAGGGCGCCCCCACGGACTACCTGCAGTGTCTTCAGCGGTGTGACTATGATGGCATGGCGGTTGGGCACGCGGTAGTTACGACTGATGCTGATCCGCTTGGCCGCCCCTGGTGCCACCCCACCAGCCTCCATGGCCGGCGGGTCAGCCTCGGCCGAGAAGAAAGAGCCGATCATCTTAAGCGTGTGGTGGGGGGCCAAAGCCGTGAAGCCCTCGGTGAGGTCGCTAGCCTGCGAAAAGTCGAAGCCGCCGCCGGTGGAGGCGCCGGACATGAGTTTGACCTCCGTGGAGAATTTCAGCTGCTGCCACTTCTCGTAGGTCGTTCGCACGTAGATCGTCTCTGATGACGTGTTGCCTACGTAGACCGTCTGGTCAAACACCATCTTGGTGGATTTCTCAGTTAAAACCTGCCGTGTCGAAATGATATCGAAAAAATATGACTCAATTCGACACAACGGTCATGAAGATGTAATACCCATCTTGTTCAGAATTCATTAGATTGCCAACATTCTATCGTACGCGTCAAATTGACTGTAAAAAAGACACCGTGTTACTTGTAACACCCTACCGATCTATACTGGCCCAGGCAAGCAACGATTCCACTTCAATACAACCGTTTCTGAAGTTTTGAACTCATTTCTTGTAAGGGATCTGGTCCCCATCGGCGTCTCAAAGACAAAATTTCGGGAGGGGAAGACCACCTGTGAGCAGAGAACCAAAATGTCACCCTCATCTTTCAATTACAGATCTGATTCTGAACTGCAAAGAAAATAAGTAGGATTAATCTTTTATTTAACAATGTGTTGCGGACAAAACTGGAGGCAAGAGAATTATACTTGGTGAATGCCCCAAATGCATCCCTAAACTACCATAGGGAATAGTAAGGGGGTTAAGGTTAAAGAGGGCGCCAGAGAAACGCCTGAACCAGAGCTGTTTAACGTAGAACCAGCTTCAAATTTTGAAAACTAAATGGCTGTTCATTATGTACAGGGTGCACCCGTGTACATGGGCCAAATATCCGTACGCCAAGTTCATTGGTAAAAGTTATTTTATGTAAGCGAGTTCGGAGACATGGAATTGGGGAATTGAAGAAATTTGGTACTGAACCTTTGGCCTGGATACAATTACTAGCAAGGTGGATACAACTGGATCAAAAATTGGCAATATTTGGCTGTTTCCAGAATAATTCTGTTTCATAAGGGCTACTTTTGCCAGTCAGGGAAATATATCCATCGTTTTAGAGGCGATCTGCTTTGGGTAAGAATTTCTCAAGCAGTTATTGGTCAACCCGCCAAAAATTGATGTTGATCATATTTTTTCTGTGCAACTTGAACACCTGTGAGAGTTGTGAGTATTTTAAAAGAATTTGTAAGTAGAGTGTACAGGAATTTATCACTAGTGTCTTGAAGGAATTGGGTGCATCCTAAACGTACATGTATAAACAGCTTGTGACTATTGCATACCAACTGTCCGTGTGCACCGGCCCATACACCTGCCAATTTGTTTCCAACAATGGCGCACTCGTGTCGCAATACTGTCTATACTGTGTATAGACCTTTTTCACCCACGTGACTAAATGTAAACAATACCACCACGTGTAGACCGCCTTGGCCACGGTGATCGCATGTATACCTACGGGAAGCTTCAACCACGCGCAAGCGCACGTGCAAACGCTGCATGCTTGACTAGTTTATCTTGAATAGGTAGATTACTATCACAACGCTATGCACTCATTACCATCACAACACATCATACGTCCAGCACGATCGTGACATCACAGGAAAAAGGTCTATATACTGCTCCGGTCTGACTAGTACCGAAGCCACAAGCTCCATATGCTCCCCCCCCCGGCCTTGGATTTGGGGAAGAGACATCCACGGAACGCTCCAGCTTTCAAATAATTGTTAGAACTAATGTCAAGCAAAGTCACGAAGAGGTTTTTTTAAAACAGTCATTTATCATTTTAGTATGTTCATTTAAAAAAAAAACACATTCAATGCTGGCTGCAAACGCTGAAACACAGCCCACTGTTTTGTTGGCCTATAACAAGTTTACAGTATCTTATAAAATTCTGGGGCGAGTGTTGGTGCACAAACATCGTGTACTAGTAATCGAAAACCGAGAATAAAAACACAAAATTTGGAATTGTCCAAATCGAAAGGCATTGACTTTGAGCACTTAAGGAAAGAGTATACTCTCGACTTCGAGAGTAAAATTTATTAGAGTTTATTTTGGAATGGGGTTCAACTTGAAGTTGCATGATTTTTCACATAAAAAAGGCTGTATTAAAAAATCATTAGGCGCAACCGAATCGTTTCAAACGTCTCTTGTTGTTGTGTGGTCTCTGCGTTGCATCCTTGCCAGATAAAGCCCGGAAACCAAGCAACCTGATATAGACCAACAGGAAACGTCCTCGGGGTTTTAAGGCATGATGAATGAACGATCACGGGGATAAACAAAAACCCATGGAAGAATTTTTGGGGACAGGGATAAATTCCCAATCCTACGCTCGTTGGTTTATCATATAATGTTATTACCCCTTTAGCGTAATGGTATGCTCCGAGCTGCCCTCAAGGCAACATGGCTACATGCCGATTTCTGTTCGTAGCTGTTTGGAGGAGGCAATTTTTGTGAAATAAAGATGGCAATATTAAAGAGTCTAACCCTTTGTAGTTTAATCAAAGTGCCATTTTGATAAATACTTCACGGTCAAATACTGCTCCTTTCCATTTTGTACGTGTTTTAGAGGTGTTGACGGTGTGCTGGTGCTGTGTTGACGGTACTCTGCCTGTTGACGGTGTGTTTACGGTAATTGGTAAGACCATGGTAAGACCAAGATGCAGTGCCTTAATAAAAAAATTCTGCTGAAAAATGGCAGGATTGTTGAAATGTAGGCCAGGATGACCTCCTTGGGTTTAGGTTTCCATCCGAGAGCAGAGTTGGAAAAAAACACGACTACGTACAGGCTTGGGAACTATCGCATTTCGAGAAGTTAGATTGGTTTGTGTAAATAATATAAAATGTACTTGGCTAACCCACCAAAAAAGTCAAGAGAAATACAAAGATTACGGACAAGACAATTATTTAATTTTGTTTGCCAAACTCCAGCAATGGTGGCTTCCATGATATTGATCCCTGAACTTTGTTGATTTTACAGTGTGTTCAATGCAGGGCTTGAAGTGGTTCACAGCACCCCTCAAGCAGAAAATTTATGTAGAAGAGCGTCTCCGGTGCCTGTGTCTATACCCATTTAGTAAGTGACTGAACCATGCCGGGCAGGGACACCTTGAACTGCACCTGACACTCGATCCACACGACCTCTTCTAGGAAATAACAGGGGGATTCCCCTAATACATCTGTCTACGAGACCGTAATGGAGCTGTGCTGTGAGTGTAGATACCCGTGAGTAACATGCAGGTTCCAATGCATCAACAAACCCGGAAGCTGTAGAGTTGTACATAAAATCAAGAGGCAGATATAAAAGACGTCTGGAAACTAGAACTTGAATTGGGTATTATAAAACACCAGACACTATGCGTAAGTGATACCTTATTATTTTTCCATTTGTGTCGATGTTGTTATTAATTTCACTTTCTGCGCTGCACGCAACGCCTGTGTAGGCCTGATAGATTTGAGTCTAATATCCTTAGTTTTTATTCATCCATGAATCAACTATCCCCTAGACATTACAACCATATATGATGCCTTTACGGTCATGACGGTGTAACATGAACACGCATTCAAATGAGGTCAAACTTGATAAGTTCGGTGACTTGCTTGACAAACACACGTCCCCATTTCTAAGTGTCACTGGTCATAGAGGAAGGAAAACAGATGCACAGGTCATTTTCCACAGGGCACGAGTCGCGAGGTTTAGGTTCTCGTCTACATTCTCTTCAGAAAAAAAAACAAAATAGACAAAATAAACGTCAGCAAACGACGCCATATTGTTTTCTTTTGTGACTTATTACTTACCAATTAACAGAAATACGTAATCACTGTGCAGTTTGCGAGAAATTCGACAGCCAACATCGAAGTGTAGGCAACTGGCAAATTGATGGTGTTCCGAATGTATTATTTTAAACGTGTATTTCGTGTCACATCCGGCATTCAGAAAAATCACGTGACAGTTGCCGTTTAAAGGTGCTCACACTTCCTTTACTGACTTGTGGTTTGTTTGGGTTTTTCTGTGTGTGTGAGTTGACTACTTCAAACTCCGTTAGAAATGTGAGACAATTTATACGTGCAACATCTTATGGCCACCTCTGGCAAAGACTGCACATTGCTCACGTATACAAACGTACTGATCAAATTCGTCATAACGGCATTCCGATTCGGTTAATTATGTAGGCCTACAGACGGACGAGACCAAGTCGATTTTGATCCTGCAGTTAATTCCGGGTTAAATCTCAGCATTCCATTCGCTGTGTCCATTCAGACTGGTTTGATAACACGTGCATCATAATTTAAAATCTTATCAGGAAATTAAACGACAACCAGTAGGCCTACTCATTCAATAAGATTTAATGAGGTTTCTCCTTTCAGAGTCTCCTTTCCTATCCACTATATGCAAATCATTTAGCATTTTGCCTATTCGAAATAATTACATGCGAATTCAATGGGCAAAAAGTAGGCAAAGGCAGCGATGAATTAAATGAATACATAACTGAAACTGCCCTACTTTCTAATGTTGGTATTATATTAATTGTTTGGCATTATGTGCTTTCGTCAGGCTATATTTCTTCTGACCAGAATGCCAGAATGTGAACTTCTCATGGTCTCAGGAAAATTTAGTTTGGTGTATACTTTAATTATACTCCAAACATACTTGTTTACTTTGAATCAAAAGTGATACACGTTTGTATATCGTATGCAGTGGTGTATACGATCGAAAATGTTTGCATATATTACGCTATTTTATTTTTTTAAACGTACTTTTAAATTTGTTGGCATAAAACTAATAGAATGTCCCTGCAGTTACTACTCTTAATCATAGAGGATTGTAATCGTGAAAGTTCATATTTTTAGAATGTTGCAATTTACACGCTGTTGGAAACTTTAAGACAGAGAACAAGATCGATTTCTCCAACAGATCGAGATAAGATCAGTATGGCGTTCACACTGAACATTTATCCAGAAAAAACAGAGATCTCTGTATATGGAAGCGAAAAGCATACAAGTTTTACGGAATGACCTGTGTGTTTACTACCAGCGAAGCAGTTAAAGGTTAAACAGGAATTGAAAACATTTAGATCATGTGACTTTTTCAAAATAACAATAAATACGTTACCATTAAAAAAACATCTCAAACGGAACAGTTTCCTTCCAAAATTAAATATACGCCGTTCAATAATTGAGCTTTGTTTCCACAATTATTGAATATTTAAAAATAAAAAGAGGGTACCAGGTTTCTCTCAATGTTATTCACTGGTCAGACTCCTTTAGATGTTATCTTTACGAAATAAACCCCCTAGAAACTGGCTAGAAGCAACCACGAGAAAGGGAAATTCAAAGAAGGACCAAAATGGAGCTTATTTCATTTTGGAAATAGACTCTTCAAAAGTTTCCAAAGATTTAAATCAATGAGTGTTAGCTATCCGTCAGTGAATTTCATCACTGAAACCTCGTACCCCACTCCAAAAAAATTGCAATAATGACGAGGGATTTTATTTTCAATTGAAGGAACGCGTGTTATAACTTGCAATAACAATTTTACTTTGCAAATTCTATCCGGAAATATCCAAAATGTGTTTTAGCATAATAAACGTTGGGTACATTAAACAGTGTGCAGGTATGTAAAAATTCCAAATTTACTTGTATGTACCAGATATACAAAAGTTGCAATTAAAAACATGATTACATAAAAAGGACATGGATAAAAGTAAGTCTTAAGTAAGAGTCGTGAAAAGGGTGACACAATTTATAACAAATCAAATGCAGTCTGATAGAGATGAGTTTTTGAAACGGCGTAAACGCGGTTTGGCAGTTGGCGTATCCCATGTCAGCGTCACGGTATGTACGATGCCTTGTACATTATTGAATGAATCCAACACCCCCCCCCCGCCTCGCCGAGCGCCCTTATCGAGCTTGGGAAAATCTCGCTGCCATTAACAACAACTGACCATCACGCAGAATTTGCTGACCGGTTTATGTCGACAAGACTCCCACGGTGACTGAGGTCGGTGCCTTCCGCGGGTAAAAAATTATACAACCAATAAAAATACTGTAGTATCAACACGGTAAACAAAATGTTCGTAAAGACAATGAAAAGGCTGGGGTGGATTGTCCTGATGATTAAGAAATCCCGATAAACAATGGCAAAGATTCTTTCCATGACCATGAAGGCTCACTGTGAAGAGCAATGTGCATTTTTATAACTGCACCTGTACCAATAGGCTACATTAAATACCAAAACACTAAATCTAAATACGGGGCTAGAGCTCACATTTTAGTATAAGCTTTTTGAAAGGCGTTTTCAAATCAAAAGAGTTTTTTCAAGGGAAAGCCAAAATGTTTGGATTTTTAAAAATGTAACCATGCATTTGTGGCCTTTCTAAGGGTGGCGCTATATATTTTAGGGCTTTTTACAATCTTGTAGGAGGTAAGGGAAATGACCCAGCCCCCCTCCCCCAGATCGCTTTTCCTTTATTATTATTTCTTTTAATTTAAAATTGGTCCTTTTGGAGAGCATGGCCTCCGGCCCTGTTAACCCGTCCCCGAATCTGCCTTGAGTTCACATACGTTACCGTGGCACTACATACAGCAACGCATACGGCCAGTCTCCCATGTATTTACTAATCTCAACGAACGCAGTTATACACAGGGTAGTTAAATTTTGTAAACCCAGTTCCAAATTTTTAATGGAGATAGTGTTTGAGGCGTCAACTTGCCGAGGGAACCGTCATGCTGACATCAGACGAGTCTCGCCAGGCGGGTCGGCCAGTCCAGAGACACAGTCGGCTCCGAAGAAACAACACAACAGAACAACGCAGGTTTACCTGCACAGAAAGCCTTGGAAGGAAGAATGGACAAACCACAACGATAACACCGTCCGACATCAAACTGTTTCTTTAGGGACGATTCTCTTTTGAAAACAACAAATACAATTAGGAGGCAGTCTGCCAGCGATATGTTTTTGTTGCTCCAATTGGCGACGGCGTTATTGTGAACGATACGGTGTCGGTAACCTATCGATCATGAAGTCCGTTCCGGCTAGGTTGCGGGTTGACTCCTGTGGTTCCTTCATTCACGTAGAAGGATACCGGTATGTGTGTCGAGACGATGGCACCGACATTTTGAACATATTAATGAAGCAATGGACATTTTGTTCATGGCAACGAGTATTTAAAACGCACCTTTTTGCCCATTTAACTCATTGGTTCAGTTTCTGTGTTGCAACTTTAAGTTTTTTGTCTGTTTTATAGGGACTGCGCATGAGATTTTAAATTTCCTTATATGAGCAAAACAGTTGTGTCCTTTCATGGGGAAGCTTAGGAAACGGTGTTTTCCCTCAATAGACAGTTATCTTTTTATGCGTGTGTTGATTTTTTTATCCATTTTATTACAGCCTCTACCTGCAAACTTTATTTCTAACCTGTTGGAATGAAATGGTACATTTCACACTTTTAACAATCCTTGAGGCTTGAAGTGATATGATGAGTAAACAGCGCCCCCAACAGTCGTAAAATATTATTTCTGATCTTTAGTCAAGGCAGCCCGTTTACATTTTAGTGTGGTCTTCCACGGGGCCCTGAGAATAAAAGTTGCAAGAGAGAAACAGTAACAAAGGTGACATTTACAAATTATAAAGGTAACAGATATTCAGAATAATAGATAACAAAGTTATACACTAAAATAACAAAAGTATATTTCATAAACGAAAACTGAAATTTAACATATTCAAACAAGTAACCAAAAATAATTATATGTGTGGGCAATCAACATACACAACAAAAAGACCTATTAAAGTAAATATAACTTTAAATATAAATAAAAACGGATTTATATAACAGGACGGTATTACATTGACAAAGATAACCATAAAAGAAAATTGATGAATTTAAGTTAAAACAATAAACAAGTAATACTTTACAAATGGTACACAAGTATTAAAACAAGTTAATAAAATCAGGTGTAACTTACAAGGTTAGAATGTTATCTTTCATCAAAGTCTTAAAAGAGCCAAGGGAGGCTGTTGATCGGATTTCTGTATGTAAACTATTCCAGACCGTAGCCCCAGCGACAAAAGGACTGTGTTTGAAGCATGTGTGAATATTCCAAGCATCGAAGCAAACACCCGCTGACAGATTTTTAAAAGGCATCACCTAATAGTTTAGAAATGGAAATTTACACAAAATATGTGTTACTGTAGAAATATTTTAATGTCAATTGCACTTTTCCAAGATGAACTACAAAGTATTTAACCTAAGACAGATTGTAGGCTCTTATAAAGCCTAAAATAGAAAATTCTTCCCCAAATAGGAATCCCGTCTGCAGCCGATGTGATCTTTACCTCAAGCAAACGGCGCTAAGCATGTTTTGCCTGCCTTTTAAAATCAAATCATTAAGAAAAGCAAACATGCATTTAATCAAAACAGGCTGAATTTTTAAAAGTAAAAAAGATCAACCAGTAAAGAGAATGAAGTTGTGGTTCTGGTGCATGACACGTTTTGAAACTTTTCTATTAAATTGTATTACTCGTCAATGCATTATTTGGCTTGAAGATGGATTATTCGTCGAAAACAATGTCCAACTTGAGGAGCGATTGGCAGTGCAAAAGTAATGCTCTTTTCGAATTTTTCATCAAACAGAAACCTCGATAGTCATCGTGTATATCAAAATACCAAGACAGCAGCAATAAGAACAACTTTGCGTTACGTTCCCCTAACCTTGTGGTCCATTATTTTCCGGTCAGTCACAGGGCCTAATTATGTAAACTCCCGCCAATTTAAGAAGTCAAAATCAACATCTCATAGAGGGCTTGCGGTTGAAAATTTATTTTCGCATGATCACATGGAAATTATGCACAGGGCGACAGGTCTGCGTGATCATCACTTATCAAAACACAAATTACACTATGGTAGCGGGGGTTCACACTGCACCACGCTGTTAAAATTAGTAATGAGTTGCGGACTGAATGGAGCAACGTGTTTTGAACAGTTATTGATATTGTGGGCTGGACAAAACACCCACGACGGGGAGTAAGGGAACGCCTGAACCGACGGAATTCAAAATACCTGGGAATGCAATGGTCTAATTATTTGCACTAAACTTGTGTGCGAAGAACGGGAAGTTCTGCATCAAGACCATTTTTTTGCCTAATATTACAATAAAAGCGCACTTGTGCGAAAACAAGAAAAAAGACACAAAACTGCCGGTAATTACCGAAAGTTCTCATTGTGGTCAACTAGCAAAATTGGGAAGTAAGGTGAGAAGCGATTGTAATGTAGAAATACCTCACGCAAATACAAAAGGCAAATTGAACATTTCCCTTAGTGCTGGTGACTTGGGTAGTACATTCGCCGAGGACATATACTTCACGACTTTGTCACTGGTCATGCACAACAAACCCAGTTGTGGCTTGAAATAAAACACGACTCTACGGAAAGCAGCTACAGCCACTGCCATAGACTCGTGTGTAATCATGATTGCAAGCCGCTGCCAAGCCTTTCTGACTCCGCATTTTCTTTACGTCTGTAGCATACTGCAAAGTCTGTCTTGCTTTGCAATCTCGTTCTGCAGACCGTCGCTTAGCTGCTGCGGAGGTCAATCACATAACACGTGAACCCATGAAATCCACAAGCTAACGGGCCGTAGCCACTTCCTATATGGCCTAGACGGTAAAATTTCTCCTGTCTGCAACCAATTGATTCAAAATACGACCTTTCACGATTCTGTGAAGTAAACCCGAAACATTGTGGGCACGATAAGATAATACCACATGTTACCGCAACACATGCATATTCGCGCGCACTTTATAAGTGTCTTACGACCTCGTGTCCAGTTAAACTTATCTCCCTCCAATGCTTTTGGGTGGAGGCGGTGAGTAGTACAAGCGAAAAATGAACTGAATTTTAAACGTAAGGGCGTTTTGTGCCTCTCACCGAGGCTCCTTTAAAAAAAGAACAGTTTAAATCCAATTGTGGATTTAAACCTGCTGGGCATATCCCAAAGGAAGGTCTTTGATCCGTCCGGCTTAAACCGCTGCTTCCCTGCAGCCGGCTTATTGTCCCGTTAAAATATCAATAATACAGTACCAAAAAAGGACGTTAAATTGCAGTCTTCCGTTCATTACTAATCTGATTTCCAACAGCACGATACAGTGTGAAAACTCCACCGCAATCGTGTAATGTTTGCCCCGATAAATGGCGGATCCTACGCTCCCTTGGACCTCTTCAGACTGTGCAATCGACCAGGGGCTGCCTGTCTCGGTGTTCTGGGGTGTACTAAATCTTGTGTAAAAAAAAGACCCGCAGAGGCATTGTGTGAAGGTTTAGAAACAAGTTTTTATGATTTAATTTTTGAATAGAAGGCAGCTTATAGTGGGACATGTTGCAAATAATAAGGTAATGTTTCGACCATATAAAAAAAAGGTTACAAGGGACGTTTGAACTTATTGTTGTGTGGGCAATGTTTGACAAGAGTATGTTGACAAAAAATGTTTTGCACTTTGTTCTCTCTTGCCAATTTCCCTGTGTCACGGCAAGTCTAGATTCAGTGAAGTGCCATGTGGCAACAATGATCGTGTTTCACACAGAGATAGTCAAGAGATTTGTCAAAACCTATATTGGACGCAGCGCGTGGGAGTTTGAGAGCGATAGCCTGCCAACTCATACCAAAATCATCATGCGCAAGTTGATCATGGCGATACTGTTATCACATTGTATCGCTCCCATTTTTGATGGAATGGTATACAGGTTCGATCACTGCCTTCACATCGCTGACTTCGGACTGAGCCAACTGGGAATTCCACAATACATCTACAGAGTTATTGTAGGTTATAGCCTAAACCCGTGTAACCAATTGTCTGCTTCATACTGTTTCATGGCATTGTATGTAGTGATTGTGCCCAACAGCCAATCAGCTGCCGAGTTGGAATCGACTGGTGCCAGAGTGTGTCATTGACACCGTCAGGTTCACGATACGTGCCATCACCTTTGTCAATCAATAACAAAATACATGTATCGCACTGCGCCCAGCCACGGCACCTGTTAGTTTAAAAAGCACCGATGCGAAACAGTTTTTGTAAGAAGTCTGGCGTTATATCCCCCTGCCGAGTCTGGTTGAACATTCTGTTTAAGTGATTTTACGGGAGCCAGTTGTGTCTCCGGACAGCCTGGAATCTGCCTGTGGCCGAACAAATCAGAAGTTTGCTGGACAACATCCCCGCATCTTGCTGGCGTATCAAGCGTCCGAGAAACTCATCTCCTAACAGAACACTTGGCACATCGTTCCAGCAACCCCTGTCCAGTCAATTCAGGTTTGAATTCAGTTTTTAAAACCTTTCAGTGTCTCTCCTCACTGAAAATTGCCTGGGTTAAATTTTAACGCAAGGGAGGTTGAAAACAGCAACTACCCGATAGTTTAGGTTGTTTCAACCCAATTTTGGTGGCTGAAATAACCTCCTGGTTTGTTTTAACCAAGCAATGGTTAATACCCACTCACTTTGTGGGTGGAAAATGAAACAGAAAGTATTTCCCATTCCCAAAATTGGGTTAGCACAGCCCATATTTGGGTAGTTGCAGTTTTCACCCTTCCTTGGGTTGAAATTTAACCCAGGCAATTTTGAGTGCCGTACAACCGTAACTTTCTAAATCAACGACGATGATTCATGGCTGATACAATGAAAGCATAGGCCTACTTTGAGCAAAACACTAGAATCGGCTTGTTTCAGTTTAATTTTTATGGTATCCGGCGGAGATCCAGTGGACGGTTTGGAGGATGAAACCCGATGGTCACAGCCATTTTGTCAGGGGTCTTACTTTGCGTGTTCCGTTGTAATGGCTTCACCAACTGCGACAAATATACCCCCAACCAACAAAAATTTCCCATGCCAGCATTATATTAAAAGCCCACCGAAAATCCTGGGTCCACCCTTGACTTTCTCTTTTTATTGATTGTGCTTAAAGGGGACTAATGTAAAAGTAAATTTGAAAAGTTTGTTGACCGTCTAGCAAAGTGAATATTGTTGTCAAATAGACTCGGGTGATTGGACATCAAAACATCAAATGTTTTTAGCTACAGTGCCCCAAGTTTAAAAGTATCGTAATATGGAAAACTGAAATTGCTTTCTTAAATATCAGGCCCAAAGGGCTTGTAAATGCCGACTGGTTCGTAAACGAACCGTGCTGGTTTTAAAGATGACAGCATTTCACACGGTCAAACTTTCAAAATGGTCCTGGAGAGAGACGTGGGCATTTAGGCAATTGTATATCCCCCTTACAAACTGATCTATCTGACAAACATTTGGCAAATGTACAAACTTACAGTCCACATCAGAGAGCAATCATCTGGACACAGCTTGAAAAAAATAACCGTCAAAATAGTTAGAATAATGGGTTTGAAAAGATCAGACTTTTTATACTTAACACTCCCAGCCTTAACTTTCATTTTATACAACTGGAAAAATCCAGATTCGAACAAGTAACTTTAAATGTTCCCCTCACTTATCACGAAACACATTCGAGAGTGAAATGTAGCGTGTTGGGGGCGTTGCTGTTGATGAAAAATCTCTTTTTTTGGCATAACACAATAGTATTTCATATTTCCATAATAAAACTGCGGTCAGTTTTATGCATCCCCTTATAACACGAAGCTTTCTCAGAACCTTGAATGGCAATAGGGTAATGTCATGGTTATATCGACTACGGTCAATGTATACAAAAATACAAAGGTTCGGATGGATAGATGCCCTGATGATTGATGGAATAAAAGTCTCGATCTTTTCATTGAGTTGAGGTAGAGGTTGGACAGTTTCCAACCTTGAGTGGACTGTTTCCTCAAAGAATGACCTCGCTGGTATTCTCAATGTCGTCATGGGATTAGGTGAAAAAACAAGCCGCAGATTTTATACATGAAACCTGTGAAGAATTAGTGAATCGGTCAAAATAATAACTTTTAGGACCCCCTGCGTATCAAGTTATAGATAGATGGTTATTGTATAAGAGTATTTTGTAAATAAAAATGAAGTTTAGAGGAAGAAAACTCACCCTCAAATATCTTTTTAAAAGCTTCGGTCACTATACAGAAAAAGATAAATATAATTGGTTGATGCGGAAAGAACCAGCCTCCGACAATAATTCTGATTGGCAAAAACTAGCCTATGGTTTGTTGTCTGAACAAAACTGTTGTTCGTGACAGGGATTCACAAAATCTTCTCTTTCGGATAAACTTTGAAACTTTTAGTAGATAAAAACAGACTCAAACTGAATCATCAATGCAGCATTATGTGAAAATATGATTGGCATGTTTTGGGATATCTAATATAACCTAAACTGACAAGTAGTTTCCCGAACCACTAGCCACATTGATTAAAGGAATAAATCTGTCCTTGGAGTTTGGAAGCCGAATATAAAAGGAATGCAAGATGGGGGTCGACCAGGAGGCCTCTTTTCTTACTGGTCTTTACCACTTGTGGCTAGTGTTTTAGACTTCACACGTGACGGTCTCTTGACCAATTGGAATGGGTCACCTTTCTTGGGTATTTATGAAATGCACATAAAAACTAATAAGTTTTCATCCGATACCATGCTTTACTGCAAATGTCTCAGATATATGATCGGCCTATTGCCCTATACGCTCAGAACGTCTAACTCTGGATGAGATTAAGTCTTAGTTACATATGGGAGCATGATCAATATGAATAAAGTGAAGAGTCTTGTTAAACATATAAAGGAAGAAGACTGGTGTTAGTATGGTTGATGAGCAAACACTGGGTGAATAACACTTACACTCGTTAAGTAGCAACCAACCCCGCAAGGTTGCACTCGAGACGTTGACAAGTGGCGGGGTTATGGTTTGCTCAGGCGAAGGGGTTGTGTACACGATGCGTGTTCGTATTCGTGTTCACAAACCCGTACGCTTGTGCACCCAGTGCTGTTTTTCTCTCGTACGCAGCGACTCGGTGACGATTTGCCAATTTGGCTCTGACAGTTCCTACCTAAATCTCCTTCTCTCGGAGGTTTCCCAGTGTAGCAATTCCTTAATTTGCATCAAAGTTGAAAGTCGTGCAACTTGTATACTTCGGCTAGATAGACCTCGGGTTCATGGCATTTGAGAATAGCATCCATGAGCAATGATACCGGATACCGTCCGTACGCAGGTCGGAAAAATTGGATGGTTCGATCACCAGTTTCAGCAGTTGCAATTGGTTTGTTTTAATACAGACCCTCAAAATGCTCCTTTGTGTCTCAGCTTACCTTATTTTCAACTCTCATTTCACTATTTCAAGGGGCATTTTACTGCGATTTGGCTTTTATGCCATTCTTTATTTCCATATTCATGAGAGAAACTGTGACGTCATCTCAGGAAGAAAGCCTCAAATGTTACATTGGTGTGTACACGAAAAAGTACTCCATTTTTGTAGATTTTGCTGTACTCATTTTTTTCTTCGTTACTGATCCTCTGTTGTTTATGTGCACAGCAGTAAACAAGCATCAGTCCCTCTCTCAGAAATATTTCAGTAGGTTAATTCTGGTTTCACAATTTAAACAGAAACACCTATGCTATAAACCATGTCTTCTCTAGATGACTTCACGGCAACAGCGCTCTCAGTTGTCCAAGAAGTCATGAATAATTTTAAATGCTTTAAAAGGTGAACTTTTTAATACATTTAACGAAATAGGGATGTAAAAGCGTTTTTAGACATTAAAGAAGAATACAAAATTGAAGGAGACTTGTGTCTAAGAAAAAATCATTGCAGCTACACCTTAGGCAACCTCGGTATCTGTGGACTGGTTGATGTGAAATGCATATTGCTTATCATACTTTGGATACATGATAGCCACGCTAAATGGCGATGTAACTGAGCTGCATTTACTAATCCGGCTGTGATGCGAAACTATTTAACGGTCCCTGCTTGCACATTGGGGGAACCACTAACATAGGGCTAGAATGGGTAAGTTACTCCCACGGTTCTATGTTGGATCTTTATTGTCTAAGAATACAACTTTTTCCACAAAACACTGACCATTAACATAGCATTACAATCGCAAGATGAAGGGAAACTTCGATCCTTCATGCAAAAACTGAAAAATCGGCTTCCATCGGTATACCGTATAGCCCTGAAGAAACTTCAGATCAGCAAAGTTCTTTTCAAGCATCGGGAAGATTTTTATCAACATCCAGTAAAAATATCTCAGGGAAAGAAGTTAAACCAATCTTTGAATTACTGGCTGCTAATCTCATTTAGATTATCCACGTCCACAGCACACCCTGAGCAAGGTTCCTGTTTTCTTTATCTTCCAAGTTACCAACCGCCCTTGGGTGGCAGGTATAACGTTGATTCCTGTCCTGTTTAAAACTACATAGACACCAAGTCGCACTGCCATTACTGTTACAACAAACCCCAAACTGTTCTATGAACAACTTTTTTTGTTGACATTAGGTTCGACTGTAAATAATTGTGAACATGAAAGTTGTTACCCTAGGGTGTACGCAACTGTGATTTTACGTGATATTCATCGTGTGTAAGTTTTTGCAAGGCAGGGGAGGCTGGACTCAGCTCTGTTTCTGGCAAAATAAGCTCCGCACTTGAAGAAAAATGACAACGATTCTGAGAATGACAACAGAAGGCATGATGATGTTGGTATTGTTTTATTTTCATATTTTATAGGCAGCCCCCTTTGCAAGGTTGGTGAGATTCTTTCTGCGATCAACTGAAAGTTCTTTCTAGTTTACTTGTTAGACTGGTTGGATCGCTCACATCACAGTCCAATCATGCAACTAGACGAAGCCCTGCGCTACCTCGGCAACTTCGGCCGGTATCAGACGCTGGTCTACGTTCTCTACTGCCTGGTCGGTTGTGTGTTCTCAGCCTGCCAGATGATGGCCATGGTCTTCATCGCTGACAAGCCGGCCGGTTACCGGTGCACGGCTCCTCTTGCTGCCGGTGATGCGGGCGATGTGATCAACGGCTCGTACTTTGCGAACGTCTCTGCGAACCGCGTTCAGGATGGTATCAACTCATCAGTCGGGTTTAGTGACGTCGCAGAATGCTTTGTAAATAGCTCAGAGACTGGAGACAGCACTGCTTGCACTGAGTGGGAGTACTACTTCGAGTATGGTGAAAAGACAGCAGTTTCTGACGTGAGTATAACGACAGTAGTTTTCCTAATCAAAATTAATTTCCAACCTCATTCGGCTTTTTGAGACTTTACATACTGGTGTTTCTTTATATCCATTATGTCCTTTGGCATGATGTATTAATTGCACTCTCTTTATGCTTCCCTCAAAATTAATGATCTTTATACACAGGTCAAAAGACGGAAGTCCTTCAACAGAACAGTTTCATTTGTTTGCTAATTTTAGATGATATTTGGTGACCTTTTCTCCTCACGTCGCAGTAGGTTTTGCCTAAAAGAAGAAGGCAACTGTGTCAATAGTCTTAAAGTCAAAAAGTAAAAATCTCACTTAAGTATTCAAACACAAAATGCTAATAATAATAATAATTGTAAAATATCCCTCTTTGACGTTAATGTAAAAAATTTGCAGTTTAGGCAAAACCCGCTACAACTAACTAAGAATTTGTTTATAACATTTTTCCAAGTCACAGTGACGTAGCCTCACTATTTATAGCTATACTGCATGATACATGTCAATTCACCACGCTGACCTCCTCTGAGTTACCCATACTTCGACATGACAACCATGGCTACTCCTAACTCCTAAAAATCCTCCTTGAACTCCCCCTTCAGAGGACAAGTCATACGGTTCGCCAATTAAAAACGGCATGTGGCGACCACAAAATGAAGACATTGTGGTAACTGTGTATACATTTTCATATGCTACAGAGATAACACACTAGATAAAGAACCACTTTTCACACACTCCTATATGAATGCAACACGGTTTGAGGGTGGATGGTCGATCAGAGCTCCCCGAGGCATTAGAAGTTGACAAACCAGTCGCGAGGCAAAGTCTTAGGTCACAGAGGGGATCTTTTTGTATTGGAGAGGCTGTGATGTTGCCTGACTTTAGTGGTCAGTTTCGACGAAACCGACGTGAAAGAAAAAATCACAGCAATGCTCGGATGTAAACATTAAAGTAAAGGGCAAACCAGACTTTGTTGGTCACCATAAGTTTCAATACCTTGACGTCATAGGTGAATGGTAGCAGTACTGCAACCTGCGTTTAATTGGTTCATCTTACAATAAAACCAGTAGGTTTAATGAAACTTTTTTCTTGTACAAAATGGATCAGTATAGGAACGTTGCAGACTGTACATTAGCCGTATACTTAGTCGTTTGGGCAGCACAGACCATTGTTGAGGTTGTGCTAATATGAGACGTTTCATGTACTTTCCAACTGAAGGCAAAAGTCCCTTTCATTTTCGCTCCATGGGGCGCAATAATAGTGTTTTCACGGCGAAACAAAATTGTAAGCGCCCCATAATAGTAGTCTTAGGGTAACAAATGGCCAGGCCATTACAGAATGTACCACCCCCTGGGAAGTGCCTCCAATCTCCGTGGATTGTGCCCAGCAATTGGTGTCTAATTGTTCGGCTAAGTGACAACAGACCAACTTGATCCCTTCTTTGGAATTCCCCCGGCCTCGCAGACGCACTGGTACTTCAAAAAGTGAAATCGGACAGGGTTTCGAACATTAACCTCGTGTGTAGAATAAAGCTTTCATTCGCTGAAGGATCGAGCTCCTCTATTTCCACAGAATTCTACATGAACACATAATGTGACCCGCCATTCCAAAGCCATGCTGAAGTAGGTAACTTAATATCCCTGAAGTAATGGAAATGCTATTGTTCAAGGATCATTTTGAAGTCTAACAAAAATTGGGTGAGAGGAATTGTCAAATATCATAATTACTTATTTCAGCATGGTGTTACCTAAAAGTAAACTTTTGTGTGACCACCAATGTATACATTCAACATTATGGACCTTGAAAAAACACAATCCAGTACTTCAGCGGTCATGAATCTTCATCACTGCACTATCAGTCAAGAGAAGTGATTCAAACAGCTCTATGCTTCTCTCTTTAAATTAACACAGCAGGACAAAACAGTTTGATAGAAGATTCAGTGTTAATGTCAGATAGTCGCACCTGAAGGGGTCTTTTTTTTTTCGTTTGCTTGGACCAAACTGTTTCAACTTAGTCACCCATGGAAATCCACTAGTCTCGTCCTATATGGATAAATTTTGTAGCGGTATTGTGTAAAATATCTACTTTGACAAGATTTTGGCGGGAAAAAATGTGCCCGGACACAGTTTAGTTTTTGTGGCATACAGTGAAATCCTAAGGTCATCGTTGTGGATAGTATGCCACCAGTCGCGTTAACTTTGAAGGCTGATAGAGTTTCAGTCAGGGACTTGTTCTTTATGGGTACGTATTTGCGCTTCAGTTTCCATGATCAGTCACCGATTTACTTACCGTAAATGCTTCAGACCTATCAGATTCAAACTGGGCAATTGACCCCCTGCAACTCGGTAAAAGCTTGTGTATTACATTATGTTATGTGTTTCAGCCTCACTGGAGTACATTAGAAACCAGAGTTATCGCACTTTAAATTAGATGTCCTTTTACCAAAGTATCAACTGCTGTCATTTTAATAAATTATCATGATAATGCCTAAATAAATTACCTGATTTTACCAACAATGAACAACTTATTCTATAGGTTGGACCCTGATTAAAATTTTGTTCGATCATGACGTCAAACCAATACGTGCAATACAATACGATCAGTTAATGATTAATCTGATAATTATCGTTTTTACTGGTTTCTATTGATGTACACAAGGAGGGCCCTGCAAGGGTCATACCCCTTCCTCAAAAAGGGACGATTTTGTTTTGCAATGTAACGAGAGACGGGAGACAATTTCATTTGCTTTCCTTCTTAAAGACGTGAAGAAAGCCACAGAATGTATCACCTCACCCAACCTTTGGCCCCGAAAATTTGGTCACAATGGAACGCCCTCTAAAATTATTAAACTGTATAACATGCTCGCCTGTTCTCAGTTCGACCTGGTGTGTGATAGAGCCGTCCTTGGTAGCACAGCTCAGTCCATCTTCTTCGGCGGTGTTCTGGTCGGGTCGCTCGTGTGCGGGGCCTTGTCCGACATACTGGGGAGGAAGACGGTGCTGGTCGGTGCCATGTTCCTGGAGGGCGTCTTCGGCATTTGCATAGCCTTCGCGCCGAGCTACACCGTGTTCGTTGCTCTCTGGTTCTTCGTCGGGGCGATGGAGCAGGTAGACGTATAGATTGTGTCAGATTTTCTTTACCCTTAAAGATATGCCACTTGGTTTCCCCCAAAAAGGAGGAAAGGTGAGAGACGATCCTCCGACAAAAAAAGAGAAGAGGAAGATAAAAGTCATTATGTACGATGTTAGCTGCATATTGCTCTAAACATTTCCAAAGAAATACCATGTCGTTCAGCAACGACCATTCTCATAGCACACATACACTTTGGTGTGAGCGTATTTGACAGAGGTTTATGGGACTGGAATTAAGACGAGTGCTCCAACCACTCAACAGATCACGGTACGAATCGCGCATGCGCCCATCTAATTTGCATATTTCATGCTGAACCAGTGTGTGAATCATGCGCGCGCGTACTCCATTTGCACGGCGTTTACTGATTCTACATGACGTCACGTTTACATTATGGGGAGAAATGGAAACTTTTACAGTTATCGATCTCAAGCCTCATTCACGTCAGTTATGTTTACCCTTCAGGGTCTCAATTTGACTGGGTTTGTTTACGTCATGGAGTTGTTTACTCCAGAGAAGAGGACCCTAGCCGGCTGCCTAACAGGCGTGGCTTGGGGTGTGGGTGTGGTCCTGATCACCCCCTACGCTTACCTGCTGAGAGACTGGCGACACATGGAAATAGCTGTGTCTGCGACTTTCTTGGTCGTCGCGCCTCTGTCACTATGGTAATTAAGCGTTTTACTATAAACTCCCATAGTATGAGCCTATTGTGAGCCTGAGTTATCCTATCTACCATAAACCCTTCATACAATCCCATTTGATTAGCAGGGTAATTAGAAGCCACCGTGGCGTATTAACTCTTCTATCTAGACAGTATACGGATAAGAATGCGCACACGAGTGTGCCGTCGCTATCGTGACGTCTTCTGAATTAGTCCGCAAATTGTATAACACTTGTTTAGTTGCAAGCTTCCAGTAGGCACTTTGCAAGGTGGTACAAATAATAAACGTTTGTTGAGATTTGATTGAGAAATATTTATTTGTCGAAATGGTACTGAATTTCGTATTTGGTATAGAGAACTCCACCTTAGTATTAAATTTACATGCAATTTGATGTGCTCTATAAAGTGAAAAAAATGTGTCGGGACAAAATAGTTTATCGGTTTCTGAAACAGACAATAAGGTGGGCAAAGGCATAGCGCAGGCCCGAAGACGGGGGGGGGTTACGGGGGGTTCCAACGACCCCCCCCCTCCTCGCTTCCGAGTTCCGCTCGTTGGTGTGTGTGTGTGTGTGCTTTTTTTAAATAAAAATATAATTCGTATATTCCATAATTTTCGGAATGTAAGGCGCGGTTTATATATTGATTCCAACGCAGAAAATATCTCCGCGGTTTATAATGAACTGCCGGCGGTTTATACGGCAACATTTAAAGAATGAAATCAGTCACTAAACGCCGCTTTATGCCTCAGCGCAGCCTAACCCGGGCCGCCGCCGCGGCCAGCCAGCAACGCGTACCAGCGGCGCGGTGCAGCGTTCTGGGCGCGGGCGTGGACCCTATGGGCACTTCGAATTTTCGCTTCTAACGTTTGTGTGTGGAGCAATATTTTATCTCCAATTTTACAAAAGGTGAAATTTAATTAAACTCTAAATACTTTAATTCATAAATGTCGATTTCATGTATACCCGCTTAGGCTACCAAGTTCCAATGACATGTTAATTTGGTCCGATTTTTTTTCCGAAGTGCAAAATGAAATGCGCCCCCCCCCCAATTTTTTTTTACCATTTTTAGTCAGGTGAGTGAAGGTAATAATGATTTACTAGAATGTATCACCTTTTTAGAACTTCTGAATTTTTTGTGAGATTTTCAGAGATTGTTTTAATAATAATGTTCATATCATTCGCTTGATTGAACGTGCTGCATGGTGAAGAGAAAATTCATTACCAGGCCAATTTACAATCCGCCGTGAATATTGAAAATTGAAGTAGGGGGCCTACTCAAGTCTTACCCGCATCCTTCGGTTCGCAGCATTCATGGAACTTGTTCGATGTTGTGCTCCAAAGCTCATTATGATAGGCCTTTGTATAAAAATAGGTGTTCACAGTGCCAAACGTTCCACTTTAGGGTTTGACAAACCCCCCCCCCTTTCCGTCTCTGGTCAGGAAACGGGCCTGTAGCGTGGACAAAATCGGCCTGAAAATTTAACGCTTACAGGCTAAAATGCGATGAACATGAGAAAATTGGATTAATGTTTAACGCGTCAATTCATCTGAATATGTCTAACGTTGCATGCAGGATTGTGTCAGAATCCGTCCGCTGGTTAGTGTCTAAGGGTCGCACAGATGCCGCCGAGAAAGTCCTTCATCGCATCGCGAGGCTGAACAACATCAAAGCGCCCGAGCGATTCTTGAAGGACAATGACGTCGTCTTGCTAGAAGCTGGAGAGCCAAGAGTTAAGCATGCCCCGTCGGATGTCAACGAGAACACCGATGACGACGATACGGAACCCAACGACAAAGGAGTAGGAACCGAAGTCAAGATTGACACCGAAATGCGCGCGTGGAAGTCGGCCGATAAATTCCGATTGACTGAGTGGAGGAAGACACCGCTATTGTTTCGTAATGCCTTCATCATGTGTTTCAGTTGGTAGGTGAAGCAGAAATTCAGATTGCCAGTTTGAACACCAGAAACGATACATATGGTGTTAAAAATCTAGTTACACAAACAATAAACTGAATAAAACGTAGGCTTAGGCCTCATTTGGCGGTGTCGCAAATTTGAGCGATAACCTCATCTTCTGGTGCATGTATCCACGAACATTATGAACGTTACAACTTAAGCGTGCTGCTTGATGGAAAATGCTTCACATAATTTGAAAACTTCAGATGTTTTGATTGGTCATTAAAGTAGGCACACACTGTAAACAAAATGGTCAAAATAGTGTTGGGCATTTGTTACTTACCCAACCTTGGTTAAAACTACCACACTATTGGTTAAATTCCATCACTGTTGGTCAAATATTGACCAAATATTGGGGAGAATTTACCCAAAGGTTGAAGTTGATATTTTTACCAACAATGGGAAAAATATCAACCGAAAATTGACCAACCATTTTACAGTGTACCAACGAAGTATTGCTCTGATACCAAACTGTAACAATTCGTAACTAATGCCAACTCAAATTCGACCAAATTCGACCACAATTTGGCGGTAGTCAACATTCCCCCAAGTTGACACGTTAGCAAGCATTTGCTGTGATCTCACAATAATTTTGCGTTGAGGTCCATGTTTTTGTGCTGAAAACCCAAGACATCTCAATTCACATCTACAGGTTGGTCAGTAGCATGGTGTACTACGGCATGTCGCTCAACAGCTCCAACCTCGCTGGGGATAAGTACCTCAACTTCTTCCTCATTGGACTGGTCGAGGTCCCAGGCTATCTTGTGCTCTACTTCTTGATTGAATGGTAAGATACCAGACCTTTTTATGTTGCACATTTTTTCTTGGTCGCTACGCTCTTTTAGTCCATTTGCATAAAAATAAACCAAGTGTCTGTGATACGTGCCCATATCCGGCGATTTTAACATGGAAGAGAAACTTTTGAGCTTGCCGATTTCGACCAGACAGCAACCATGTATTATGGGGCCTTTGGCATGGGGAAACTCGATGGCGTAGGCGACAAACATGATTAGTAATTGATTGGCATGTGTCAGTTGTCCAGGCTGTGCCAGCGAACTGTTACCGGCTAAAGACAAACATGGTCATACTGGTCAGCTGAAACAGTATGGTCTATACTGACAGTGTCAATCAATCAATAAACAGATTTCGAGATATTTCTTCTCCAAATGGTGCGTCACATAAAACATTTGGCGTATACTCCGACTAGAAAAATTCTGAATTGGCTACCCCAAACAAGTGCATATTGTGATGTAGAGCTCTTGATTGTCCAGATGAAAATACCTGTATGTTTTTATAATTGCGCATGAATGAGCCATAGTTTGTTGTTGGGAAGAAGAAAATTTTCTCGCTTCAACGCGTCCAAGCGGGTTTTGATGATGATCTTGCCGGAGGCAAAAATTGCTTTCAGTCCAACAAGTTTTAAGAAAAAGAACGCGGGAAACTGGCAACAGCAAAGTGTAGCACTGTCGCACGCGAAAGTCTGTTCTTACAACACTACTTCACAACAGCGCACCGGGGGTCCGGAGAGCCGGCCTCGCATTGAAAGATAGAAGGTTATGTCTCGGAGTAGTACGGTGAGCCTCGTATGGTCAGAACCGTATCGGCCAGTCTTTTTTTAAGTGAAGAATTTTGTTTGTCGTGTCTAGCTCCGACTGTAATAGGTGTTCAATGACCTTTCAACAAACAAAAAAGAGCTTTCCCATCGCACCGATTTTCGACAGTGGTAAAATCCGAAAGAAAATGTTTCTGCAGAATTGACAAAACCTGATAATTTACCGAAGTTACGGGCAGCGTGTATGCCTTGGACTGTTCCTAGACTTTGAATAGTTGCTTTATGAAGTTCGGAGAGCTATACAAATCAAGAAAGAGGCATTTTATTTAAGATAAGTGTTACTGCCAGCTCGGTTCAATGTTCTTACCCCTTTGCCAAGCGACGCCTTCGGCCATGCTCAGGCCTAATATTCAGATTATTTTGGTAACGAGGTATTGAAGCACAGAGGAGGAAGGATTTTGATATTTCAAAATAAGTGATTGGCGGAGTACAGTTGTATTTAGGCCCACTTCGTAGCCTCCAAGATTGCCCCGAAAAAATGAAATTTTAATCCGGCCCCATTGTCAAAGAAACCACGAGCAGCCTAGGAGCGATACTTCCTGCCCACCTTTTGAAGGGCTGTCACCACATCGGAACCCAAATATCCTTGGTTCCCATACTCAGATTGGAGGGTTGTTTGGGCTTTGGCTCAGGGCTCTGAGTTTTGATATCCATTGTCAGTTTACCTATGAGGGCAGGGAATTATTCAACCGCCATTGAAAAGACATTTTCACGAGGTTACTACTCCAACTGCGGTCCACAGAAGTTCCGACTGAGAACACCTGATCTGTTTTTATGTTTTTATTTGTTTGTTTGTTACTTAATAACGACCATTCCTATATTTCAAATAAGAATCCAATGTAACTAAAAATTAAAGAAAAACAGTTGTCCAGCATGATGGGCAATGTTATTCCGCGGGTGTATCTAGGCTTATATGGGTGTTGAAAATGCAAAGCTTTGAGATCCTCACAATGAGGTCTGGGCATTATACGCTATCGGGAAATGCAATAATGAACAAGACTGATAACCTTTTTTCTTTTGAATAGGTCGTTATTCAGTCGCTGTTAAGGGCAAAGTAGGTCTACGCCTTCCGTCTTAAATACGATATTGTTTCGTCAGCTCCCGGTATCGTCATGCAAAGTGACAAGCCGCAAAGTTCACAAAGCCTGATTGAAAGAGACCGTTATTTCTCGAGTTAAGTGGGTCACTTTACAGTAGAGACGTTCGAGTACAAATTTTAAAAGAAGAGCTTTCTTAATACTTTTGAATTACTTCAAATTGAAAGAGCAACGGAATTATTCGCTTGAGGGAATCTCAGTATGAACGTGGCACCTATAATCATAACCTTTCCCCGTGGGAATTATGAGGAATTAAAGTGAGCATGGGAGATCATTCCGAAAAAACGTGAAAACACCGTCATAGCTTTGTTAAAAATCGGCAATGCAACCAGAAAACAACGGCCCACTGCCTTACAAAAGCATGGTATAAAATACAGGTGTAATTAATTAGTGGCGTTAGCGTTTACCGGTATGTTTTATAGTTACCTACGTTTGGAGGTGTTAAATACTTCACTGTGAGGTAACACGTGAAATGTGTATTTTGGGGCCAATCGGTCGATCTTGTTGTATAATTTGCTGGCAATTCCACCGTCAGCCAATCGCATTTTGTTTCGCTATTTGCGGCTGTAGAGGATTGTTTTGATTAAGGGGAGTTTAAGTTGACAGGGTCGACTGACAGGGTCGACTGACAGCGCGCAGCGTGATAGCGCTGATCGACTGTCGCACCCAACATAGTATGCCCCGTCGCTCCAGGCCTCCCTCCATGGAAGTGTCCCCTCGTCCTGAGACCCAGTCCTTCGGTTTACCACCCATGTGCACGGCTTATTCGGCGGTGATTCTCACCATCCTGGAAATCATAACTTGTGATGTTTCGGTCCTTACTTTCACATTTTGAAGCCTTTGATAAAAAAGAGTTATGAGATCATTTACGTTCAGATTTTGTTTAGGCTCCAGCGACAGCACTCGTGGTTTTCCTTGGGACATTTCTACCGGCAGTGAATAACAGAGAACTAATTGTTATCAGAACTAATAGTCGCTAAACAATAACAGCTTGCGTGCATGAGAAAGTTTTCATTTATTGGATACAAAAGACTGTAACTCTCTCCAACAAGTTTAACAAGTATTTTTTCGTACTGTCAAACTTTTTAAAACTTTGTTGCCAGCCACCTCTACGCCCAATTTCTTTGAGTGTGTATAGACCTTTTTCCAGCGATGTCACGATCGTGCTGGACCCATGTGTTGTGATGGTAATATTGCATGGTGTTGTGATACATATTCAAGTTAAACTAGTCAAGCATACACACTTGCACGTGGTTGAAGCTGCCCGTCGGAATATATGCGATAGCCTTGGCCAAGGCGGTCTACACGTGATGGTATTGTTAACATTTAGTCACGTGGGTGAAAAAGGTCTATAGTGAAAAACATGCACGTAGCAATGTGGTGTTTTTATTCATAGCCAGATTTGGGAACTGTGATAACGTTCGTGGCCAAAGTTTAGTGTCAGTAAAACCACACTCAAGCTCACACAAATTGAAACAAAAAGTGTCAGTTTGATCCGACAGGCGCATCCAGGTATTTTAAGTCCAGGGTAATGCTGGGTATATTTTCTGACACAAATTCAGAGGCGCAACTATTTGAGGCTGAATTTCTGGGGAGCACCCGGGGGGTGCACATATGTTTTCAAGGGGGCACCCCAGGAAAATAGTCTGCAGCTGCATTGCAACGGACATTAATCATAGATTTCACATGGGGGTACCCGGGGGACACGCGCAGGGGGGCATCCCCCTCTCCCGTAGTTACGCCTCTGCACAACTTCCATTTATTCAGCCTTCAAGTGTAGAGTTTTGATGTTTACCGTCTGGCCATTGAATATTAGGACGTTAGCGTCAAACGTGTCTACGAAGTGACAACAAGATTATATTTAACCTAGTCAGCTTAATGTAGTCAGCTTAGAACCTTCTATAATCAATACAGTTCACGGCTCCATATTTGGATATCTTGACCACTACGCATGTTTCTTTCACAGGTGGGGTCGCCGCCCATCTCTGAGCATGTCTCATTTCATCGCGGGGATCAGCAGCATCATCTGTGCGTGCCTTCCACCAACAACAGGTGGGCCCTATTGACAGGTTTAAGGCATGGTGGCCCAGGTAAACTTTAGCACGTCAGTCTCCACAGCCAGCCGCTCATTGTGGAAACTGCGCAAAAGTTTACTGATATATTCAGGTCCACTGGTACACTGTGAAATACAACACAAGTGTGGGAGGTGATTATGTAGTAATTGATTGTATAATAACATTTATAGGCCTTTAGCAACCTGACAAAAAAGACCTTTGTCGGGAGCGGAGATATTCCCTTCCTGAATTGGTTTGAGCCCGCCGCACGGCAAAGAAGCTTTTCACATGGAGAAAACTGAGGATAAATGTTTCTGCGGAACTGATTTCAGTTAAATCGGGGGTTTTCATTGAGACTATAATGAATGTAATTCCCGTTTGTCTCTCCACTTTGCCTCCAGAGGAAGGTGCAGATTTCACCCCAGCTATCTTGGCCTTTGCTCTTATTGGTAAATTCTTCATTACCATTAGTTTTGCCGTGGACTACGTGTATGGCTCTGAAATCTTCCCAACATCAATACGGTAAACCGATCTTGGCTTACAAAAACGTCATCAATCGGCGCTCATCAATCGGCGCTCCTGCATAAGGATTTTGACACTTATGTAACGTTTGCGTTTCATGCAGCTAATGCATGCTGTTTTTCATTGCATGAAAACGATTCGACCACCTTTTGGCTTAAGCGTATTAAAACGGCTCATTTTTAACTCGTTTAAAATTGTTGGTGCTTTTCCTGGACAACAGAGGACGCTGTTGCTGTGATGTAACAATGCAAACATTCATCGGGTTGTAGTTTTTCTGTGAAGATTAAGAACTAAAAATTGGCTCATTTAAGAAACATTTATGAGAAAGGCTTGCTTATTGGCTTATTGTCATATACTCCAAAAGCAATGTATCTTTTTAAAAAAAAAGGAAATTTGGAGCAGCAAAGTATAAAAGATGTCATGCCTTTTTGTATATACACAAACCAATGCAACGTTGAGGTTCCTTTCGTATAAAGGCATCAAAATACCTTTTAGCATGGCAAAAAGAGGAAAATATTAAAATAAGGTTAATTGAAACGCAAGCAGGAAAAATCCGCAGTGTTACTTCAAACTTGAAACAATCCCCGTTTAGATTTACTCCAGGGACATCGACTTAAACGACTTATTACCTGATTTAATCGCTTTGACTATGTCATTCTTTTGAAGTGATTAATTGCAACGTTTGTGCAGACAATTATTTACATGTGCCATTATTACAAGCGCGTATCACAAATAACCAATGCATGTCCGGTGTTGCTTCCAAAGTGTTTGCAAAGAATCTCCAACCATACCACTACACGGCATTCCATTAACATTATTTTTCTCATCTGCTGCACAGAAACATGGGAGTTGGTGTGTCTTCGTTTTCAGCAAGAATTGGTGGGATGTTGGCTCCTTTCGTAGTGTACCTGGTATGCAATCCCAAAGAATTTTCATTCATTATACCCTGCCCTCGCCCCAGTGGTTTGTTTTATGGGAACACCATATACGTTTCTGGAGCCATTGTGCTGCTATTTCGGGGAACTTAAAGCGTTATTTCGTTCGTGCCAGATACTATAACCTTTTTGCGGGAATGAGGATTCCTCCAAGGATGAAAAATGGAGAGTTGTTTTTGGAATAAAATCGGTTTTGTCTTCACCCCTCCCCGGAACCCAAGACCTGGATACCCTCCCTGGGTGTAAGACAACGTGCGCATGTACCGTTTTATGGTTAAACTAAACTACCGGGAACTGACTTCTGAGACCAATAGTTGCCACCAAGATTTTGGAAAATTTAAGGCAGCAATTCTTTCGATATTCCTGTGTTCCTTTACACAACGTGCGCATGTACCGTTTTATGGTTAAACTAAACTACCGGGAACTGACTTCTGAGACCAATAGTTGCCACCAAGATTTTGGAAAATTTAAGGCAGCAATTCTTTCGATATTCCTGTGTTCCTTTACACAAATTAATTAATTAAAGAAAGTCTTGGGGTCTTTCTTTGTTTTTTTATTTTTTTAATCCTTCAGGCTGATGTAAGTCCTTACATACCTCTGAACGTGTTCGGCATAGCGTCTGTGCTCGCTGCGGCGCTAGTTTTACTCCTTCCCGAGACAGCCAAGAAGCCGCTACCTGAGACCGTGGCTGACGGTGAGTGGCTGGCCCGCTCGGCCGTCCCGCCCAGGTTACCCAGGTGTCTGCAGCTCGGTCGGCAACAGAGGTTCGACACCAATGGATACGAGGCTGCCAAATCCACAGCGTGAGGAAAATAAAAAGGGTCTATGAAGACCTCCGCGGACAAACTGTCATTTGATCGTTTTAAATTTCACTAGTTTGCCAATTATGCGACATGGGATGTAAAAATGGAATCAAATTCCCATTGTAGAGGTTAACTTTACTGACCTCTCAAATGAATGTTTTAATACTGTCAAATGATGGAGTTATGTGTAATGTACATTTAAGAACCAACAACTATAATCTGGCACCCTTGCGTCCTGAACGAAAAGGAACGTGGACATTATTGCCTGTGTCTTTATTTGATACTATTCTGCTTTGAAGGTTTTGTTTACAAAGATAACTCTTTCTGTATTTCCTCAAGTTGTCTGACATTGTCAAAAGACGAACATGGATTGGAGCATGAAGCCTGTTTCCACATATTTTTTTAAAATATAGCATGTATAGGACACCGATAACAACATGCTAGATTATAAAGACTTAAGTAAATGTCATGTACCGTAAAGTGAGAAAGATCTCCTATTTTAATGTCGAAACACCGTCGTCAGGAAACGTTGCTGATATATTGTCTCATTCAGGATGTTATTAATTCAACCTTGCGTAGAGTGCCCTCCAGCTTTTTTTAATGGACAAGATGTAATTATAGACTTAATTCTCATAGGTTGGCTAGACTCATCCTATGCACTGAGACTACCTTACCGTTTTCGCTTGTTCCACCGTGCTTAGGACAATTGGGACGGGCTAGGCCTAAGCTTGACATTGCATTAATTTTTCACAGGGTCAAAAAAATGCTAAAACGACAATTAACATGTGAACTGAACTGCAGACGCCACTGAAAAGTGAACTTCTGCGGCAGAAAACAGAAAGGCACGAGTCCTGTGGAATTAGCATGTTTTTTATTACTGTCTGACGATACACATCTAATTTCCTACTGGGAATGGCTTTATTGCCAGTTTTGAGGGGAGACTATATAGTCGTCGTGACGGTGGAAGCTTCTCAGTATGTTGAAATGTCGGACAGTACGGTGCTTCCCGTTTGAAAATGAAAATCCTCGAGCTACGATCATAGCCTTTATTCTATTTGGGTCATTTTCTCCTGCGTGTGTAAAGAAAAAGTTTGCCTCTGAATAAGTCCATACCGAACTGTTTGTCATCTCAAGGAAAGACCCTTGTGGACATTGTATAAAAATATAAAGATTACTTCAGCTATTTTTTTATCATCAGAACATGAACTTAGTAACCACTGTATTTTACTGCATTTTTCGTCGATGTCTCTTTGTATGTTGGAAGGAGATGGATATTTTTTTCATTTAAGAAAAAAGATTTACAGTTTTCCTCATAAGACTTCAATAATTTTTCTCGAAATGGGCTTATCGTCTAAACATATTTATCAGATATAGCATTCATGCACAAACTGTTTGCACCATAAAACGTAGGCTTTATCTGTATTATTATTTACAAAACATTAATGAGGGAAAACATGATTTGTGGCGATGCAGCCTGCAGTTAATTTTTGGTATAATGTGATCTTTACCAGGAGAACCAAGGAAAAGTGGCGGCATTCGGCGCGCACGTTGCTCAGGTGCCTAAGAATACTGGCACTCATGGTAGGCCTAATATACCTGGCGGCACGGTGATCATGATTGAATTTGGGGTTTGCTTTTACCAAAAAGTGCATCCGATCGGCTACGAAAATCGGTCAAATTAAAATGAAACATTGAAATTAAAATTCAAAATTAACATTCTTATTATCTATCTTGAAAACTTCATTGAATACAGCAATGATACATAATTATGCACAGCATCACTACAACTCACTTATTAATAGTAATAGTAATACTATACAAAAAAAATAAGGAAAACAGCACTATATCGCACACGAACTCTTTGATAGAAAAATGGGGACACCGCACACAGCGCACAAAGTTGACGGAGCCATGAAGACCTCCGTGGACAAACTGTTACTGAATTGTTTAAACGTGTTCGCTAGTATGCAAATAAAATGATAGGGGATTATGGTTACTCCTCAGATGAAAGTATTAACCCTGACAAAAGTGATGGCGTTATGTGTGACGTACATTTGAGAACCCACAATTATAGTCAGGCACCCTTCTCTTTTGCTTTCATCTCTATGGTACGTCTAGAACGGAGAGGAACATGGACATTGGACCACAGAGGAAGGAACATCGATTGGAGATACCGTGCACGATATGGGGCCAATGGGTACCCCCCCATGTCTAATCCCTATACACACTCTAGACTGTTGTTACCTGACAAATCTCCCCTAGAAGTCTGTAAAGAAATCCTGAGATTCCGATCAAACAATGACCAACACAAAGGTGGGGGGGCCTTCTCTCCGCCCCATATCTTGCATCATATGACGAGGTATTGCAACAGTGTCCGAGCCGTACATGTGTTCGAAAAACACTGTGAAATGCGCACTGCGCGGTTCGGAAATCACTGTCGGTCCTGACCACTTGGCTCTGGTCAGCCTGACTTTTGATGTCCAAGTTTGTCTAAATTTCGCTTCGGTTGGAACGTTATGCAGGCTTGTCCATCTTTATAGGCGTTGCTGCAACCTGCAGCAGCACATCTGGTAGGCATGTTAATAACACCCAACAATGAGTCAGTTCCGTATTCCAACTGCCCATGCTCAGTGCGAGGCTATTCGGGAACAGCTACACACGCGTGCGATAGTCTGTCCATCACTGCAGCCATACGCTGACCCACGCGTGCACTTCGTTCCCGTAAGATCTTGCTGTTTGAAATAGCGAAATGGCCTATTGGACTGAATTTCCCGAACTCGACACAAGACGGGCATTGATGCGCTTGTGACGCGCGACTTGTTCTCAAATATACGTCACAGGTACACAACTTATGTAACTTATCTCTATGCTAATGAGATACCTCCGGGGCCGTTTCGCCAAAAACTGTTTACTTTCTCTCACCCCCTCTCTCTCATTTATTAATCAAAACAACTTTTACATTCTGGATATCGTTTAAAAAATACATTTTCAATTGTAACTAATAAAAACCACTCTTCAAAGGGCCCTTAAAATTTCCTGTTTATAAACAATGATGTCCACAGGAAAGTGACTGTAGGCGTGTGGTTCATCAAACGGGCTAAGCCACGGTGAACTGTTTGGCAAAAAACAGTTTTCATTTGTTTTTCAGGGGTCGGGAGAACGTGTACTTACACACCGTGCCGTTTCTTGGACATACAAATAATTGTACATGCCTATTAATTTTGTCCTTATCAGCCTTATCTTTCGTCCATGTACAAATCCTTTCTTCAGTGGGTGTAGGATAAAAAGATAAAGGTTCTCTTTAAAGGCACTGTATGTCACTCATTTCGTACATCATTCACTTTGAATATCTTATGATGTTACTGTAAACTCTTTTTTCTTGTGTACAAATAAATTATCCATTTAAATTTTAATTCTAACTTAAATTTTTATTCTCCAAGTATCATACACTTCTTACATTGATAACATAAAAATAATTAATTCTTGTTTTTACGTAAGATCAATGTCGACTAGAAAATAATCCAAAAATTATATGCTCTTATTAACATCAGTATTTAGAACGGATTTACTAGATTTCGTATTTACTGTGCTTATGTTTATGCTTATTTTTTAAATATTTTTGTGAAATATTTTCAAGTATTTCTGAAAAAGTTGTAAAACAATGACCGTTTTCCTTTTCTTCAAGCCCTATAAACTCACTACTGTATCTTTCTTGCAGCTTCTTCTTGTGGGAACAACTACTACAAATAGGCCGGGTGTGGTGTGAGGTTTCGAAAGATTATTTAACACACAATAAAAGTGTTTTTCACTTGCTGTGTTTCAAAAAGTACCACTTTCACTGACATGACTTCTCCGCTGTTACTGATAATGACAAATACCCTTTTTTGTGGTAAATTGTGACTTTTTGATTGTATTATTTTGGTTAATGCGAACTTAGACTAATAAGAGAATGGTCAGGATTATAGAAACATTCATGTGTGCCTACTCAGGCGTAGCACAGAAAGAGATGACAGGGACTTGCCAATGCCAGCCAATTGTTCTCATGCACAGACTTGTGCAGATTCCAATTGAATTTGATTTGTGGCATCCATGTGATAATCAGGTTTGTGCACAGTTAGTAAAAAAAAACTAGTTAGTACACATTCTGAAGAAAAATCTCTTCTTTTTAATGCACATCATAGGTATGAATTGGTTTGTACATGCTCAGATGTAAATTGCTTTTTGTGCACATATAGATGTAAACTGGTTATGCACATCCAATTGAAAATTGGTTTGTGCACTTCCAGAGGCAAATTGGTTTGTGCACAACCTAATAACAAAAACCTGGTTTGTGGCCAATGAGTACAAATTGGTTTGTGGACATCCAGATGCCAGTTGGCTTCTGCTCATTTAGATGGAATGATTCAAAGATGAGAAGTGGTTGTGCATACTCCACTAAGTCCACTCTGTACGGACATGCATTAAAACTGTGCACTGCCCAGCACACACACTGTCCTGTGAGTGAGCCACATCCTGCGATCATCTAACATTTCATAAGAATGTGCATAACGTACCCAAACTACTTTAGCTACATGTATAAACCAACTGGAAAAGGCACAGGCCCCACTGACTTCACATATTTGCCATAGAAACGTTCAATATATGCTGACTCCAGCCATAGCCCAACATTTGGACGTGGCTACAGACATCCCTGCAGATCAAGTTCAACAACCTGGCCAAGGGTACAAGTTTGTGCACTCTGTTTACTTGCAGTCAACATTCCTTGCTTTTTTACAGCCCCAGCCAACAAATTGTGCTAAACCGATTACCTGTTATTACATTTACTTATCAGGTGTAGACATACCCACAACCCAAATTCCCTTCCTAATCTGTGAATTACACTATTCCAATTTCTGAAGACTCTCCATTCACTGTGTAGAGGCATGAAATTTGCCCCCACAAATTAATGTACATCTATGCAACAATATGACTGAGGAATCTTTTCTTGAATTATACATGGTGGTCTACCAAACACAAAGTACAGCTATCTATTTATTAAGACAGTAAAAATCCCCCCCCCCACATGGTGGTAAAGGAGAGCCTATTATATGTTGGCCGGTATCTCCAGTTTCTGATTGGCAAACTTGGTAGCCGCTCGCTCAAACATCCTGGTAAATATGTCCGTGCCCTGAGCACCTGAAAATGTGGACTGTCCGTTTATGTAAAACGTTGGCACACCTGCAATACAAATGGGTCAGAAAATGTGACAACTGGATGCAGATTCACTTCTACTAAATGAATTAAAGGATAAAATGTACATGTACCCAAATGATTTGTGTCAATAACATGTCATTAACACATTAGAGTGCTAAGACCTTTACTGTGATTCCTGTGAAGTATTCATTCATCAGCCTGGACAGAATGGCAACATGCTGATATCATTACAGAGTTTTAAAAAGAATCTTCTAAAGAATGCTTCAGCTGAGGAATTGTGCATGACGTCACAAGGGGGCACGCAAAGAATTATGCTGACAGTGCGGCAGTAAAAACTGTGCAAAAGTTGAGCGCATGTCACAGTGAACATGTACTGATTCTCAGTCATGCAGATGGAGATTTCTACAGCTGAGCCAACAGTTCTAGCAACTGAATCTGCTTGCCCTGAAGAAGGTACTCAGTTACCGAAAGCTCAGCAATCACATATTTCAGAGCACTGATTTAACGTTATATTCTCGTCAATATTCTGATCACGGTGCTACACAGCCCTTTATATATCTAGGTTCTCAGCTGTGCTCACTACAGTGGAATGCCGCTATACCAAACACCGCTATACCGAACATTCAGCTGTACCGAACATCATCCTTGGCTCCCAACAATTTGTGCACAGAACCTACCGAACACTATTCAGTTGCCGTTTGTAATTTCCGAACGTCAACATGATCAACCAGTCGGTGTTTTTGTATGTTGGAAAGTGACAAGTGGCCATTATTTCCCCATGGATTAGAAGGGAAAGTCACTTGTTGTCAATGGTATTGAATAGACACTGGTTTTGCGACTCCACATGATCAGGTGCGGAAGAAAACTGCACGTACGCGCACGGTGGCATTGCACTAACAATAGTCTAAAGAGGGCACCGCTGATACACAAATCAACTGAGATTCGCCACAGCATGCATCAGAGATCGATCCTGAGCGGTAGTTTCACAACTTTTAGGATAAACTTGACATCAATTTTTTGACTCAAGTTTAAACAAAAACAAATTAACAGATACATTTCTAGAAACCTTAAACTTGAGTGCAACGGCAAAACATCACGAAAAAAGCGAACCAAGGTATCACAAGAAGGTGCACTTCAGTTAGACAATAGAGGGCGCTATTCAACATGGCAACGAAACGTTCGGCAATTAAATTAGCTATACCGAACGAGCGCTGTACCGAGCATTTAGCGTGGACCCCGTCTCGTTCGTTATAGCGGCGTTCCACTGTACTTACAGTCTATGCAAGACAAAAGTTGCGTAAGCAGGAAATAGTATGTCTGCATGAAGCTCATTGAAACAGGTTCCAACACATAAACACAGACGTCCCTGTAGTTGGGGCTCTATATAAGGACTGCTCCTCTCACCTGTGACACCTTGCCGTGCCCAATACCTTGCCCTGTCGTAAACTTTCTTCTGGTTGGCCTTGTCCTGAATAAATGAATGGGCCTTCTCGATGTCCAGCCCCACTGCTTCGGCAAACTTGAGGAGATTCTCTCGGTCGGGCAGCAAACCATCTGTGAAGTAACCCTGCAAACAACAAAATGCGCAACTTAAGTATGGAGTTGCATTGTGCTGATTGTTTTTGTCAGTATGGGCGTCTTGAACACATCTATTGTGATCAAGACAGTATTATCAATCAAGACTGTTCCTCCAATGGAGAGTAAATGACACAGCACAGCCCCTTCTGCACTCTCACCTTCATATCAATGATTATCACCACAAACATCCTCGTTCTCATCACCATCTTCATACCGACCAGCACACTACATAATCAGTGCCCTTTTCAACATCATCATCACCACCCACACCATTATAATCATCACTACCATGAAGAAGTGTGACGATGGCGAGGCGTTTCTTGGCTCCTCACCTTAAAGATAACCTCCTGCAGGTCATTCTGCATCTGGCCTCCATCCGTCTCCTTGGCAAACTCCAGCAGCGTGTGAGCCAGTACCGTCCAGGGAATCCTCTGGCTCCTCACCGTGAAGTCGATGCCTACAGTCTTGCCTGCCTCCCTCAGGTTTTGCACGGCACTTCAGACATGCACAAGGAAATCATACAGTCATCATCAAAAGTTTATGTACACTTCTTATTTATATGTGGCAGCCATTTTTCTATTGCAGACCAAAGCATCTACTCAAACACTTTCCTTACAAGTTCCTGCAAATCAAGTGGAAGTTCAGGCTGATCAGCTACAGGAAATCAAATAATTACCAAGAATCGGTTTAGTCTTAAAAGTTGGAATTAACCACTTCCAGTCAAAGTGTATGTAAACTTTCTACCAGCATTGTGTCACTATACCTTTTCGAAAAATGATTTCAATGCATGGTTTCCATGGTGATTCCACCACAGAGTGTGGGTTTGCGTGTGCGGGGTGAACTGCATCTTCTAGTTACTACAAGTTTCATTTGATTTAATATCAGTAATGAGTTGCAAACAAGCCCTAGGTGACTATAGACCCCAACAGAATTGATTTCTAAAATTAAATTTGTGATGACCCCTTTTTCTTGGGACATCAACTGTCTGAAGCAACTAATCCCTGGGAGTCAAATCCGGGTAGAATTCAAACATTCTAATATTTAGACAAATATTAAAAAAAAGATGTGCTCAGGGATTGGGCAGTCCTAGGAAAGATGCATTCTAGGAGAGGTTGGGCATTGGGGTTTCGATCAGAGGGCTTTCTGGGTGTTTGGCACCAACAGTAAGACATGAGATGGGATGTGAACGTTAAGTTAATGACAAGTCCTTGCAAGTCCACCACAATCCATCCCGTCTTTGGGTAAGTCATTTACAAGCCATTCAAATAAATAGTGACAAAAGTTCTGGATGTTTTCTGTTACTCATAAATGGTCTTCTGAAAGGACTTACAACGGGACTTGTAAAGAACACTGATGTTACCTCCCTCCGAGAAAAAAATCCTACACAAAATTGACTACATTTGTACATGTGGTAATTAGATGCTTTTAAATACAGGCCTCCCTCAAGACCAACACCTCTGAAGCACTCAACTGGACACAAAATGGTTCAACAGTCACACTGTACATGCATGTACAACGTAAATGAGGTGTGTGCTTGAGGTATTCTGGCATGCATGCTCCATGTAGGTTTATCTGTCCTGCTGTATCAGTGTAGACTTGCATGCATGCTTTGCTCCAAATGACCTTGCTCCTTTGAAATAACAAACTGGCTCTTTTGAAGTAATTTCCCTTGCAATCTCCTCTCACCTTTCACTTGGAAATCCTGGGGGTCTGGGCACGCCTTCCTCTGGCATCTCTGGCCTGAGCAGAAATGGCTCCCAACGAACCACAAAGTCATACTTATCTGCAGTGTTTGAAATTGAATGGAAACGAGTAATGCATTTATTCACACCCAATAATAAATAACCGTTAGACAACTCACACGTTCAGTTTTCAGTGGTAACGCCATGCTCTGAAGGGGAACGAGCACATTGAGGATATACATGTATCTATAGACCTTCTTCACCCACGTGACTGGATTGTGCTAAATGTAAACAATACCACCACATGTGGACCGCCTTGGCCACGGTAATCGCATATACCGGTATTCCTATGGGCAGCTTCAACCACGTGCAAGCGCACGTGCGAATGCTGCGTGCTTGACTACAGTTGTTGTTTATCTTGAATATGTAGATTACCATCACAACACTATGCACTCATTAACATCAAAGCTAGCACATCAAAGGTCCAGCACGATTGTGACATCACAGGAAAAAGGTTTATGTGGGATACATGTGTACAAATATGCATCCATGATGTACTGTATGATGCATATACAATGTACATGTATCTATTGCGCCATACCATAGAGTAGTAAGTGTGCTGTTGTGTACAACCAGGAAATGCCGTATAAACAAATGAAGTACATGCATGCATTGATTCACGCATTTTGACTGGTTCTCGCACCAATGCCTTTTACACACAAAATTGGGTGCGTAACGTATTCACTTCAGTACTCTTACAGGCCTATATCATGTATAATTGGGCCTATATCATGTATAATTGGGCCTATATCA